CTTGAAAAAAAAAATCACAAAAAAAGAATCAGCATAAGCTAAAAGAGAAATTAAAAAAGAAATAAATCTCTAACTCTAAAAAAAATCCTTTAAACAGTTCTGTCCGCTTTAAAAGTCACTCACCAGAAAACTTTAAGTGCGGAGATGGTAGCGGCGTTTCACTTTGTTTCCGAAGAAACAAAGACAGCTGAGAGGCGGAGAAGGCACGAACTCCGAGGGAACACTCTTTCTACCCCCCTAAAAAGAAAATCCAGGGAAGGTTAAGAGGCTCTACCTCTATTCATGCAGTCTCTACCCCTTCCCTTCGCCCGGGAAGGGGATTTCGAACCGCGGGCCAGCTGATGTATGCTGTGCTCCGCAGATCTGACACCGTCTCAGGAGGACGGCTACAAGGTAGCCGCCATCACCGTCGCTCACCACCGGAAGCTCTCAAAATTAAGGTATTCTTCTAACAATTTATCTATTCATAACAATTGGTCTGCCTTGATACTTTAACCCAAACAAAATTGCAAAATCAATTTGTAGATATAAGAGATTAAATAGACCCAATCTTATGTTGAAAACATTTTTGTTCAGTTTATAACAATGAACATCCCGCTGGCATGGAATTTAGATTAAAATTCTGCTTTAATGTATTTAATTGGGAAATAATCTACTATTTACACATAGTGCCATGATGAAAATCAGTTCAGTTTCTTGGAGTCAGCAGATGTCAAGAATTAGCATTAAAAAAAAGATTTAGAGGAAAAGCATCATTACTTTGCTCTCTCCTGTGCAGTTCTTTGGTTATATAAAGTTAAAAAGAGCTCTAGAGCTCTTCAAAGACACATTTGAAATGTCCTCTTCTCCTCAATTTGCTTTACAAACCAACACTGCCTTCTCACTTCTAAGGCCAAGATGAGGGGAGCTCAGGGCAAAGAAGTAGCATGATCTTCTTGGATTGAGACATTGGGGGAAAAATGAAGAACAATTGGATGGCCTTTTGGCCCCAGTTATGATCAGTTCAAGACACCTCATTGAGGCAAAGCAAATTTATCTCATATAATTTTAGAGGAATACCTGAATAGATATAAGGCTACAATGACAAAAGATTCTTCTCTCCACATTTATATGTTGGATTTATAGTAGAAGAACAAACAAACCACTTTTTCAATTCAGGAATGAGGTTTTCCTCCAATAAATGAGAATTTATCATTCAGATAGGTTGACATTTCAAGCTTAGAATTTTTTTAAGTGTTCTTTTTATATAAAAAAATGAAAAATACAGCAAATGCAAATTAAAAATTGAAGACTGAAGTTACACGTTAGTAACACTGAACCCAGATTAGGAAGGGCTGCTACAACTATCAGGCAGAAGAACATCCTACCATAAAAGTTAAGAATGCTCTCCATTTCATCTCAATCTCTGGTGAAAGCAGGGACCTGACCATGTATAAAATTGCCATTTTTCCCTTTCCCCTTTTTTCTTTATATCAGGTCCCCTCACACTCTTATCTCCTGCCAGGTGAAGATCCTCAGCAGGCACTTTTTAGTTGTCCAAGTAGGATGGGTAGAAACTATTGGGGCAAAGGTATTCTCTAAGATACCTAGACTTTGGACCAATTAAATTCTTATGTGCTTACATACCGGTAATTCATTCAATCCAGTCAGCCAGAAAGCCTGACAGCATCCTTAATCATTCCATGTATGAATATTCCCAAACTGCAGGTTCAATTCCTGCTGAAATTCACAGAGTATTCCTACGGGATGACTCCTTCACTTGCATAACACTGGGATGCCCCAACAGTACAATGTCTGTGATTGTATGCCAGCCAGAGTTGCTTGATTTGGTGAGATGGACAGCTCCATAAATTGACACATTGGCTTCTGCTACTATCAAAGCAGAACATGGCTATAAGGAATCTGCTTGTACATTTTTATTAGGCAAAGGAAACAGCATGGGAGCTGGTCCAGTCCACAGAAGGGGGACAAAAGGTTAAAACATAATCACCATTCCAAGCTAAATGCAGATCAAGAGAGCTTCACATGTTTACTGTAGAATTTAAGAAGACATTAATAACCATTATATCATTAAGCTAACATGTGTTTTGGCCATGTCTCTTTAATAACTCAAGAGCCAATATGTATATTCAGAAATTGCACTAAATCAGAAACAATCATATGTAGATTTGTGTTATGTATGTACTGAAGTGATTAGTTCTTTGGACTATGGTTTAAAATCATAATCCCAGGATTGTTGTGATGATAATTAGAGGACCATTACTTATGTTACCTTGAACTTCTATAGGAAAGCCAGTGTATTTTATGGCTCTGCATGTATGAAAAACAATTTGGAATAAGTGCTTTGGACCTAGCATAACATATTTGTGATATGCTAATCTTAAAAAAAAATCCAGTCTTTTAAGAATCATTTTAATGAGTCAAATCATTAATCAGCTGTATCCTTAATTATTTTTGAAGTATTTAGGGGAAGATGTTACCTAGCCTGGTAACAAAATGTTCAGAAATGTATATATATATATTAAAAGAAAGCAGATAAGACAATAAAAAACACCATTTTTAGTAGCTTTAGATAATACAGGTTTTATTATCACTGGCTTGTAAATCTGGGGCAATGATCTGGCAGATACAGAACTGTGGATGGTCATTGATCCAAGTACAAAAAAAGCAAAATTCTGAACAATGCAAGTATTTCAAGCAGGTGGATACGAGTATGATGATAACAGTATAAGCAAGGATTACCAAGAAGATGGTTATTTTACATCCAGGACCTAAAAGCAGGGTGAGGCAAAAATTCCTGCCAATGGAAAAACAAACTGCTCACGAGTCAAAAGTGAGCTAACACTGAGTCAAAAGTGAGAAAAAAAAAACCCTCTCAGATTATCTATGATCTTAAATAAACTGATGCAGAGCCAGAAATAAGAATTAGCTGACCTTTGCACGCACACAGGCCTGGAGCTGATTCTCTGATGCAAAAATCTCATGTAAATATGCCCAGTCTGTAAAAGGAAGTAATAAAGCATGGAAAGTGGGGCAGTCAAGGGATTTGAACGAAAAAAGTTGTCTCAGAAAATCTGGGAACACAATTGAGAGCGATTATCTAATTTCTTTTTTTCTTTTCTTTTTTTTTTAAAGGTTCTTTTACTAAAAGGGCTCCTTTTTGTACCCTACCAACTAAGGAAACATTTTTTGCTTTTGAATCTGACGTGCTGGCAAATATTTGGTTCAGCCAGGAATCAGTTCTGTACTTAGCAATACCTACCACAGTATGTCCTGCATGGCATCTTAAGATGATCAAGTCTGATTTTGTTGGCTGAGAATGATTGGCATTCTAGTCCAATACTAGAAGGGCGCCCAGTGTAAAAGTTTGAATTAGAACTGCCATCACAGACTCTTTTGTAACCTTTCTTGTTTTGTTTCTAACCAAGCTTGCAGAAGTAAAAAAAAAATACTTTCCACTTTGTAACATTTTAGCCAATTGCTTTGGACATGTTGAAATGAAAACCTAAAGTTTCTGAAGATGATATATTGGTTTTTTGAGGAATATCAGATTTCAGTCAAAATAAAGTTTATCATTTTTCTTATCTATGAAAGTGGGCTGGAACATTTTCCAAATATGCAAATGATAAAAACTTAGTATTTGAATGGCGATATTTTTTATAGATTCAAGGGAACATAGTTTATTTCCCTAAAATAGTTAAAACAGTGAACTAGTGTTTCTCAGCTCAAAGGAACAACCAATTAAATAGCTACAAACTCCAAACTATGTTCTAAATAGTTACATTAGTTGTGCATATTTGAATTATGAGACCACTTGGGATTCTTTCTTTCTTTCTCTCTTTCTTCTTCTTCTTCTTCTTCTTCTTCTTCTTCTTCTTCTTCTTCTTCTTCTTCTTCTTCTTCTTCTTCTTCTTCTTCTTCTTCTTCTTCTTCTTCGTCTTCTTCTTCTTCTTCTTCTTCTTCTTCTTCTTCTTCTTCTTCTTCTTCTTCTTCTTCTTCTTCTTCTTCTTCTTCTTCTTCTTCTTCTTCTTCTTCTTCTTCTTCTTCCTCCTTCCCCCCCCCTTCCCATAGCAACTTTCTTATGGCTTCTGTTTTCAGAGTCAGTATTTCATAAATTCAAAAATAATTTGACACATAGTGTACAAAACTTGGAATTTGGGAAATATAAGTTAGTGATGTATTGTGCCTTGGACAGAAAATCCAATATATTGATACTGTAATAGCATCAACCTGGATTGATGTAGACGTAAAGCATTTTTTCTAACTCTTTAGTGAATGAGCAGCATGCTCCTGCAATTTGTCATTGTCCTCAACATGATCATTCTAAAAAAAAAAAAAAAAAAATGCCAAACTCAGTAACCAGGATGGAGACCAACCAACTCCTCCGGAGTTTGTTGAATTACAGTTCCTGATCATTGGCCATTCTAAGTGAAGCTGTAAGGAGTTCTGGGTTTAGCAAATTCTGGAGGATAGCAGGTTCTTACTGAAGTATGTGTGATTCAATAATTATCTGCTTCGTGAGGTTGGGCAACTCTATCCAAGAACGTCATCCCGTTGGCTTGGGTTTTATTATGTATCCATGCAGACACACTCATGGTGACAGGGAGTCTATGGAAGGTCAAGTAAATTTGTAGGAGTCACTGTTTAAAGTTACTTCAATAAGGAAGAATTGATTAGCAACAATAATAGCACTTAGACTTATTTATGGTTCCATTGTGCTTTATAGCACTCTCTAAGCAGTTTACAATATCAGCATATTGCCCCCAGCAATCTGGGTCCTCATTTTACCAATCTCGGAAGGATGGAAGGCTGAGTCAGTCAGAATTGAACTCCTGGCAGTGGGCAGAGTTAGCCTGCAATACTGCATTCTAACCATCGCAACACCAAGCTCCTAAGTAACCAGAAATGGCATCAAAGTTATGGATGAAATTAGGACTCCCAAATTCTTCTGAATATTTTGGTTTCCAGTATCAAAATGTAAGAAGACACATCATTGCATCTATAGGCAAAATAAATATTTTTATTGGCACAATAGCCTTTTTAAAAAGGATTTAGCCCTTGGGTGTATATTCCCAATGCAGTTTTTTGACATACTTCTCCCAACATTGTTACATGTTTATGAGTCACTGATTATTTAACAGAATCTTAATTTTGTTAGCTGAAAACATTTTTTTTAAAAAAAAACATGTAAGGTAGTTTGATTAGCATTTAAGACATGGCTATATTCCAACTTTTGAGCATTACTGTATTAAACTATATATTAAGAATCACACCTGCTTCCATTTTTATTGGATGTGGTGAATGTCATTTTCTTTAGGCTGTAGAAAAATGAGTGAAATTTTTCCCCATAACAGCAGTCTAATGCTAAGCCCATGTTGTTATATGCCACTTGCTTTGCCTTTTAAACTAGTGTTTTTTTCCCCCAGACTTGTTTTAATAGGCAGAGGAAATGGCTAAAAACCACCTCTTAATATAACTGCAGAGTAGTTCATACATTAGGTAAAAAAAAAACATCCCAAGAAAAAAGGGAAGGATAAAGAAAGCAGAAAAATATATAAATCTTTTTTTTAAAAAAAGTTATCTACTATACAAAGATAAGGCTTTCAGTGTAAGCATCTGCAGTAGTTTTAAGTAAATTCATGTAATTTTCTAAACTCTCTGCAAATGGCAGCTTCTCCCAAGCATTCATTTGTACAACAGCTTCTTCTCTTCTTTTTAAGTGGCACTTGATAACAGCAGTGGAAACAATTACCCCAAGCTCTCAAAGTGAAACAGTTATTGCACAGTTAAGTACCTCACAGAGGTCAGCAGGGACTTTTGTTGTTGTTTGAAACTATAACAATCCTAGGCTATTTATAACCAGGGAAGGTCCAGAAATCTTCAAGTCTTAAGAGGAACACGCAAATAAATATTAAGGCTTGCAAGATAATCACAATTCTCTTGATCATTCACGCACATCAGTAAGATGAAAAGTGCCTTGATCTTAGTATAGACCTGAAATGGGAAGACGTGCAGCACTCAAGTCACTGTTGCATACAACAGCAGTCTCCTCTGGCATCAGGAGAGCAGACAGATGCATCCATCTACATATCCCAAAAGGAGGCATCCATAAGGCTCTCTGGATCACAGGCTAACCCTTGGGAAAAGAAACAAACACGTTATGTGAAGTCGGGAAGATAAATGCCTGGTTATTTATAGTACTAGTGGGATATACATTAATATTCTAAAAGTCATGCTTTTAAATCCATACTTGGATTTAAGAGTAGTTGCGGACAGGAGGCTTTGGAAACTTACTCAATCAACAAGACACTCCGTGGTTTAATTTTAAATGAGAGGTTTTTAGTATTCTCCTTACATGTGATTTACTAACTTTGTTCTGGGGAATTCTGACATATCTAGAAAATTAAAAGTGGATTTCTCCAGTCAAATTCAGTAATGATGGATATGTTTCTTTCAATGGGTAGAGAAAATTGCTTTTCTCTGCAAAGAACAGCTCGGGCATGTTCTGTGGAGATATTGTAAGAAGCACTCTGTTAACTTCTTAGTGAGAAACAAAGGAAAGGTGAGAGACAACATGTTTATGGTGGATTATGTCTCCATTCTATAATATTTCCAGCTATGTAAGTATACAGAAATACATAGGAAGAACCGCATCACAAAGGAAAATACTGTTGCTATTGTGTCTTTAAGGCTAGTCTGTTTTATACAGAGTAAATCCAATTTCTGATAATCTCAGTCTGATGTTATTAGTTTTAATGCAGTTCTTCTCACTCAAAGGGAATTTAAAAACTGGCTGTTTAAAAGCAATGCTGGCTTGACAGGATTCACAGATAGGGCATGACTGTATTTCATAAATGTTAGAAATCTCCTGTGTATTATGTATAAACCTTCCACCTTTTTATCGAACAGGTCAACTAATAGGCAACCAACTGAAGATCTTACCTGTAGTACCGATTCATGGCTGGGTTTCTTGCTTAGAATTAGTTGATAGGCCTGGGGCAGAAACAGCTGCTAACAGCCCACTTACAATTTCCCGCCTGATTTCACCAACAATGGACTCCTTGATCTAAAAATAAATCACAACTTAAGTTATGATCTCTACCAGATACTTTATTTATACAGACCTATATAGTTCAACCAGCCTCACAGGTTCTGATTGAGAAATCCTTTTTTCCTCAATTTTTATTCCCTACTTTGGAGTGAAGTGGAGGAGGTGGGAATCTTTTACCATAATTCCTGCTCAGTCTTCACCTGTCTCCACAGTTTCAACATTTGGAGGAGTCTCTTTTTTTTCTCCCACCCTCTAAGCTCCTTGGACCAAGGCCACTGAAAACTAACAGTAGTTTCCTACCACTCTGAGATACAGTGTAGTTTATAAGCCCTAGAGCAGTCATATCACAGTTAAAAAACAAATACCCCCCCCCCATGTGATGTGGCCTTGCATCCCCAAAATCTTCAGTGCTGTTTTTGCACACCGATAGCTACAGGATAATCCAATTACAACACCAACCAGATTTATATAAGAGGATAAATCACTGTGTGGTTTAATTGCCTTCGTGTGTTGTATAATCCCAGATGCTATGGTCTCCGAATCATGATTAAGCTTTTTGTATGCTATGTGCAAAGCCTGGCACAGCACTATGTGCGAATCAGTTATAATGTCAGTGACTAAATTAGCACATTCCATTTTCAACCAGTTCCCTCTTTCTCTTCCAGTTAGTCCAGGAATAACCTTCCTTTGAGCGAGAAAAACAAAGCTGGTTGCCCTGGACATGAAAGATGTGATCCTGATTGGGGACCCCTGGGAACTGTAATCAAAAGCAACTGGATGGCACCAGTTTGCCTATCTCTGTCCAAACAGTCAAGATGGAAGAGATCTCGCCAAGTCTGCCTTTTCCATTTAACTCTGTCCACCAAGCAAGACCCATCTGACACACAGCTCTGTGTTTCTCTCCTTTGATAAAGTGTTCAATGGCCTTTAGAGAATGGCTGGAGTGGCTGTCTTCAGAATCAAGGGCTCTTGGTTCTAGCCCCACTGATTCTAGAGGATACTCAAGAGTAGCAGAGTAGCAAGACTATGAATATACTTAATGGAAATCATCAGTACATTTGGGAATTATCATTGAAAAGGCTTCCTGAATTAGCACAGTGGGTGACTGAAGAAAGAGATGAATCTTTCTGAGAAGAGGCAAGTTGTGTTCTACTCCTAACTTAATAACAGTCAGACTTCCTGTATCACCTTGGCAGGAAGCTGTAAGCCCTCAGCACTGAAGTTTGCTGGCTGGTTCAGAGATACGTCTGCACTGTGAGATATAAGGTGTACAACTTTTCTACTGGAAAGTAATTCTAAAGAACAAACCTTGGACCCGAAACTATAGCTGACTATATTAAAAGGACATTAAAAGAGAGGGGGAAGGCAGAGAAGAAGAAAATCACATTCCCATATTTTCTGAAAACTAATACTCTGCACAACAAAGGATAATCTGTTTACATGAAATAAAGCTTTTCTTTTTCTGGAAAAAGCTTATAGGAAATGGAGATGTTTCAGCACATGGACATTATTTTTCTCTAATAAAATATCCATTATCCCTTGCAATAGTGCACCAGAGTCTTGAAAAAACTTCACAGGAACTACTAAAAATCACAATCTGTCCTTTTCCTCAGTATCAATCCACTCATAAAAGACATTACTATATTTTCATTGTGGTTTGTTCCATTCCATAAATAAAAGGTCAGAGTGTAAGTTTTTCAAACCAAGACAGAACGTATCTCGACTTCTTTAGCTTGTAATGTTTTTCTGTAGGAGGAATGTATTCATTTATTTTGAAGGGTCAGAAGGCTTTTTTTTTCATTCTAGTAAATAGAGGTCAAAAGCTCAAACGCATTACAGGCCACTCAAAAATGCTCTGAAACACTGGTGGTTTTTTTTTTTTTTTTTTGTTAGGCCTTCACTTTGTCCCATTGCAAACAAAATAATTCAAAGACACAGGAGGAGACAAATCATCAGTACGCCACATTGTGAATAAGTATCAAGAATACATATTAATAAGGCTTTCTGCAACAGAGTCGTTCTGTTTTAAAAGCAAACAAAGCCTGGCTAAAGCTTTGAGTATTTATGAGTCTCGAGTATACAGTGACACACATCGCACCCAACACCCCCTCTTCCTGCAACACATACCACATTCAGCAAACTGACCAACTCTGGAATTTGCAAGACAGGAGCTGTACCCTTCCACCCACTTACCTGGAGAGCAACCAAGAAAACTCAATGGAACTTCTGTACACAAATGTATAAGAGGCTGCAGTTACAACTGTTTGAAATTCAGACAGTCCACTACATCTCCATTAGTAGGCACCCGTTGCGTGAACGCAACTTGATGTCTTAAAGCACTCACCCCTTAAATGCCGTGAGATTTTTGGCAAACTAGTGTGAGCGCTTTCAAAACTTTAGCCATTTTTCATACAGTATAACTTAATTATACCATTATGTCCACATCTGAAGAAGGGCTAGGCATAGCCATCACTGAGAAGAAATTATATGAAAGGCAAGTTGTGTCAGGTTTTCTTTAAGTCTGGCCTGACAGAATTAACTGAAGGAAGAGCAGTCAGAATATTGTGAATCAGTGGCAGATGTTTATAATGTATCTCAAAGTTAGAATGGTCAGTCTCTAAGCATGGCCATTAATACCATAACATCAATCAAAATGTGCATTTAATTCATGTCTTTAGGATAGTTTGACTGTCTTCTACCTGTGTAGAAATCAGCCTATATGCACACAATTTGCATGAATAACATGCAACAGTCAATCAACCCTATCAGCTAAGGCTATATTTTGGAGTAGTGCACCCCTCACCAGGCCTTTCTTGCTATCCATAATCAAAATGACTTGAATCATTGATTAAACTATGCAGGGTCTCCTTTGTGAAATGCATTCAACTAGTTACCAAAATTCTTAGCCTGAAGGTCCTTGTAGTGTATTTTTAAATACAATGAGGTATTAGTTATATAATGATAAGGGCACAGACAAAGCATATGGTTGCATGCAGCTGAATTCTCTGGAATTCCAGCCTCAGGTGGAGTAAACATACCTCAGTGCCTGATGGACTAATACTCTGGCACAGCATAACTTGTTCCAAAGATCTGAGAATTTGTGACTTATCCATTTCCAAAAATCCTTGGAAATCTAATAACCACAAATGACTAAAAATGGCCTAACATCCTAGAAAACACCACTGGAGAACATAGAACATGCTTGGACTACTTCAGCACTGCCAGTTTCCAATTATGTGAATATACTCTGAAACTAAGAATATAAAAAAGTCTTCCTTTACTTTTATTTAAAGTGATTCTCATACTTCAAACAATCAAATTGGGTAGGTCCATACTGGGCTGATTTAAAGATTAACGAATATTCTTTCTCTGCTTAGTTAGTAAGGGCTAAGTACAGATACAGAATAGAAAATATAGGATTTTCAGCCATGTTTATTTATTCATTTATTAGGATTATATCCTTGCAACTCTTGATTCATAGCAGTTTCCACTAGAGCAGTGGCCCCCAACCTTTTGGGCACCAGAGACCGGTTCCATGGAGAGAGGTTTTTCTGCAGACTGGAGGGGGTGTGGTTTTGCATGCTGCCTGCATTCCGCAGATGGGGCTTCGCTTGTTTGTGCGGACCAGTTTCTGGCATGCCGTGGACCGGTGCCAGTCCACAGATCGGGGTTGGGGACCCCTGCACTAGAGGGCCTCTTTCACTCCATTTGCAATTAAATTCAGCTTTCCTTCTTTCTGCACAGTTTCCCCCCAGAAACTCTGGGCTGCTACTAAAGGGAGAAAAAACTTGTATCCATTTAGTATCTCTTAGTGGATGAAAAACAGTTAATTAGTTAACTGTTACATTTTTTAAAAAAAAAATAAGCAATTAGCCAGTTGTAATTGACTAGCTGGTCAATATCTTTTTTTTTTTCAAGATGTTCTCACCCTTTCATCAAAATCCATTTGTTCTGTTTCATTCCTTCTTGCCCATTTTTAGCTACTAATTTTCAACTCGAACTTAGGTAAAGCCTCTGACTTAAAGGGAGAGAGACGGCAGAAGCAAGCCCACACAATCCTCCCTGTAGGAAATCTCTGTCCTCACCTCTCGAATGACTTGCTGCAGTTCCTCATTCTCCACAGACTTGGGCACTTCCTCAGCTGTAGGCCCAAGGGGTAACTTTTCAAGTGACTGCTCCACGGTGGACTTGGATGTCCAGGGCTCCTCTGACAGCTGCCCGATTCCTGCTCTTGCTGGGGGAGAGGGCATCAAGGCTACGCTTGCCCGGTAGACCTTTTGGCTGGGTGGCCTGCCCCTTTCAGATGACCGCCCACGGGCTTTTCGGCTGGCTTGACTAGAACACACCGAAGAGGAATCAGAATGGGCGCAGGGTTCAAATGTAGATTCCGAGCCTTCAGGCGGAGGAGTGTGCACGCCGGGTTCACCCAGTCCCAACCCCAACTCCGATTTCAGAGATGACTGCTCTCGAATGAGTTCAGAAACCTGAGAATTCAGGGACTGGAAAGAATCAGACAAGAGCATAAACATAGTATCTTGTTTTGGGGTCATAAGTTTTATTTTAAATTACCTGACAACAACCCTGCATCCCTAAACCTTCCATGAAGAGTAACAACACTAATAAAAGTAATAACTGGCCTGGGCCTAGGTTACTTGAGGAGAATCTTGTCTACATTTACACTGATCTGTCCTGCCTAGACTGGCACAAAGTGTGTGCTATGGATCCCATTAGCTACAGAATTTTGTCTGCCAGGGTCTATGGGGAGACCCTTTTCTGAGAGATTTCTACGAACATCTTATCTCAGAGAGGAGATTGGCTTCTGGGTACCCAGGCACCTCGGAAAATCCTGCCTTCTAAAAAAATTCCAGAAACTACTTTGGAATGGCAAGGAACTAGTCATCAGAGTCCTATGAGATGCCTAAAGCATCTTTTTATATTGACAATCCTCAACCTCTAACTCTTGTGTTTCAATTCTGATGACTTTTTACGATTCCCTTTATTTTACATTATTTTACAAATATTTTTATAGTGTTTCCAAAATGCTTCTTATGGAGAATTTCCCCCCACTTTCAGGATCAGCTTGAGTAAGCGTGTGTTTGTTGGGGGGTGGGAAAGAGAATAAACTCAGTCACCCCTATTCCTCCAAGTGAAATCCTATACTGGATATCAGCCTCTAAATCATCAAACACCCACTTTCATCACCATTTACCTTATTTATCTGCTAAGTTAAAATTGAAATCAAATCGAACATCTTAGTTTCGTATTTTGCTTATACACACCCATGACATTATGCATAGTCCTGCATCATAATGAAAGAGAGGCATGTTGCTTTTTATCCGCCCCCTCCCAAGTCAACTCTCTGATTAGTAATTCTGCACACTCCTGCTTTAGTTGCACAGGATTACTTACTGGCTCCATCACATTCAACGGAGAAGGACATGACAAATTATCAATGCTTCTGCTTCCATACATCCCCTGGAAGGGAACAGAAAGGAGAGGGGGATTAAACATTGTTTACTTGCCCATGCATTTTGAGATAAGGGTGATCAAAAAAGCATTATACAGGTAACCCTAACCCAGGGGTAGGCAACCGGGGCTCTTTTATGACTCATGGACTTCAATTCCCAGAATTCCTGAGCCAGCCATGCTGAGGGGAAAGAGAGAGGTTTCCATGCTGAGCCATGCTGGCTCAGGAATTCTGGGAATTGAAGTCCATGAGTCATAAAAGAGCCAAGGTTGCCTACCCCTGCCCTAACACCTTACAACCACAACTGAGTTCAAAATTTCCGTTGCTAAGCAAGACAATTGTTAAGTGAACAACTGCATTTTACAACCTTCCTTGCCACGGTTGTTGAGGGAATACCGCAATTGTTAAGTTAGTAACATGGTTGTTAAATGTGGCTTCCCCACTGACTTTGCTTGTCAAAAGATCGTAAAAGGTGATCACGTGAGCCTGGGACACCGCAACCATCACCAACACATGCCAGTTGCCAAGCGCCCCAATTTTGATCATATTACCATGGGGATGCTACAAAGGTTTGTGAAAATGGTCATAAGTCACTTTTTTCAGTGCTGTAACTTTGAACAGTCGCTAAACGCATAGTTCTAAGTTGAGGACTACCTGTAATGAAAAAAAAACTGAAGCCTATTTTAGAACTAAAAAGGATCATTTTTCTATAAAGGTAGCAAGAAAGAAAACTATTTAATACATCATAAGCAATTAAGTTCTCACCCACTCATCCCAACCATCTCCCCCAACCCCCGCAGCTTCTTTCATCTCTCTCATATTTGACTATTCCTCTTCCGGGGGGGGGGGATAATCTGACTGTATTAAAAGCAACATTTGATAAATGTGCACTCTGCAGATTTACACTATTTATAAAAGCTTAAGCTATCCATCAATGAATCATATTTTCTATAATTTAGTTTCTTCCGGTTCTCTATATAAAACTCTGTGCTCCATTTTTTTCCATATTAAGAATCCAGAGAACTTAAGAAAATTAAACTGGTCCATAAGGCAGTTATTGAGTAACAGAATGGGAAGCAATCCTAATACAGTAATACATAACTGATAATAAATTGAACTGTTAATGATCTTAACGAATTTACATTATGTCTACATCAGGATTTCATTATCACAAGAAAGCCACATATCTGCAGGAACTGGGCCAGCATTTTACCAGATTCTTCAGCCTACACCGAGAGAAAAATAACCTTAGAATGAGCTGAATCTGAATCTGCATGTCTTCCTCATCTGTGTGGGCTGCCCAAACATTCTTAATATTACTTTGTATTTTGCCTCCAGCCAATGTTCCCAATATTAAAATCTATTAAGCTATGAAACACAGATCCACCTGCAGTCACCATAGCCCAAAACAAATTGCTCACTTCATCAGCTGCACAGACTGGAGGCGGAATAAAAACTGGGGGGCAGAAGCATAAACCTTCCTTCCCACCTACATTGCAGCTTTACTTTTCTTATGCAGAAGCTACCCTGAAATTATTCTTTACTTGAATAGAAGTTGTGTCTTTAATGAGATCAAATCAAGACAGGGCTTCTTCCCATCAGGCAGCGGCTAATTTGTATCTCTTTGGGTAGAAATGATCAGGCTAATATTACCACCTTGGCTTTGTATTGAGCAACTGTACATTTTTTGATAGACACAAGATGCTTGAGACAAGGACCAAACACAATACCCACCATGAAGGTTTGTTGTCTGTAAGGGGGTGACTCATGCATGCTCCTAAGCTGCTCTTCAAGAGCAAGCAGACGTTCCTCTAACTGCATTTCTAACTCCTGAAGCTCCATTCGAACCGATTTCCTCAGAGTCTGGAGCTGGTCAGCTTCATACCTAAATCAAAAGCAAGTTCCGTGGGTCAAAAAGAGTTTTCTCATTGAGTGGACCATAACAAATAGAAATACTGACAATCATCTAAAACAGTTGAGGAACTTACTAACCCTGTCAATCCAGGGACATGCAAGACTATATAGACATTCACATGAAGAGATCAGTGAAAAGAGCTGGAGTAAACGCAGGTGGGTTCATCTGCCTAATTCTAATAGACTTGAGCTATTAAATTTGTTTAAACAAGCTAAATATTTAACGTTCAGTACTGTATTTGCCTACAGTATGTACAAAGACATCATTTTCTACAGAACAGAGATCCAGAATTATTTTCATAATGCACTGTCCAAGGTGAAGGTAATCATGACCATGTAATTAATGCCTCCCAAAAATCTTAAATTAGAAGTACATCCCAGAACATCACCAGCATTTCTCCCTATCCAGGTGATTGCACCGAAAAAACGATAAAATCCTGAGAAGAGGAAATGATGGTGTAAAATGGATGAGGCCCCATCAAGGACACAGAGATATGTCCAAGATTCTTTTTGTTTCATGGACTGGTTTTTTAGAAAGATTTTATTTTATTTTTTTTCATTTTTTGCTTATTAAGCCTTACATTTAGGGCTTATGCCACATCTGTAAAAAAGGTATGATGCCAATTCTGAGTTACTATGTCAGAGAGGGATACAGGTTTTGTAAAACAGAATTCAGGGTAAAACGATATTTATCACAGTAGGTTAAATAATCCACAGGAAATGATATTAATGCAAGGACTAAAGAAATTTAAAGAAAGAACATGATTTTCAGAAAGTATTTGAAGTGGATGTAATTCAAGTAAGAAGAATAGTACATTACAGACACAAGGAAGAGGGCTGACCATAAGTTGTGTGCATAAAGGAGAGAATGTGCTAGATCAAGCAATAGTATAGATGTAATTTAGCACACAATCCAGGCAACATTTTCAACCCGTCAGGGGACAACTTCTGCAGATAAAAATGGATTTGATATTTGATATTTTGAAGGGTTTCAATGCATAACGGGGCCAACTTGGTAGACCTCACAAAAGCTAAATTAAAAAGGGCTATCTTAAGAAGGGATGTTTAAGTAGCTATGAAACATTTTTAATATATTGCTATGCTTTCCTCCTAGAACATTTTGTGAATAAAAAGGAGTGACTCAGATTAAATTAATAACTAGCCCCCAAAAGCATATAGCCTTGGGATCACTCTCAGTTTCCCAGCTAAATGTACTTCGCAGGTGTAATGTAATGTAATGTAATGTAATGTAATGTAATGTAACGTAATGTAATATAATATAATATAATATAATGGTACGTATGAAAACTTGGAAGGGCAGAATCTTAAAAATTGTACAAAAGGTTAATTCTTTCTTAAGTTGAATTCAACTCTTGGTGACTTCCTAAACATGTCCAGGCATTTTTCTTGGTAAAAAAATGAAAGCAATTTGCCATTGCCTTTTTTTCTACAAGCCTTTTTTAATTTTTATTAAAAAACTTTGTTTAGTTTACAGCCAGGAATTTATCTGGCATCTAATTGATAACAAAATCTGCTTCATTTTTCCAGTCAAGATTGATTATAAGTATGTTAAAAGTATATAGTTGCACGAATACTATACATACTATCCAACCCAGTATGGATATAAAGAGGTTTCTCACAAGATTGGGATCCTTCTGGCTGGAAAAATCAAAATCCAAAAGACTAGGAACTTGAACTAATGAATGAATAATCAAAGAGAAAGAAACTTACCCAGAGAGGAGATCATAGCAAAGGACAAAAAGTCGATCCAGTCAGAATGAGCAGAAGAAAGATGGCGGGAAAAGAAAAGGCAGGGTGAGAATAGTTGCTGCAATTTGACATCAGTGGTGATCACAAAAAGTTGTTTTAGCAACAAAAGCAGAACACTGTAGGAGCAGAGGGCGAGCAGTGGGACTTTTACTTTGTTTAGATGGACAACAAGAAAGAGAACCATGTTTAAGATTAATTCAAGATTGCATACCTAGAAGGGGAAAGAAAGTGCTCAGAGAAAGTAATGAATGGGAGGATTTTAGTAAGTAGGAAGAATTCTTTATTGACACAAATGCCAGTTACCTCTCTTCTTCGGTCATATGTTGATAAACAGCAGTCTGCTGGCGCAACATGGCCAATTCTAAATCCATCATTTGAGTTCTAAAGAGGTTTAGGTTCCTTCTCACCACCTGAAGATCTTGGAAAGTGTTCTAGAAAAACAGACCCAAATACACACTTGAGCTCCAGTTTGAAAGACAATATCCTGGCAACATATTCTCCTGGGACATTTAATTAAGACTGGGGATGGGGGGGGGGGAGATGTAAAAAAAAAACCTGAAAATCTTGCTTTGTGGGCTGACATTCTTTTCCCCCAGCATTGCTAAAGAATTCTTCATTCCAGAAAAAAACTCAGAAAGAGGAAGATGAAAATAACCTCAGGGCAGTATTCCTGACTCAACAATGGTAATTAGGATCAGAATATTGGTTATTAGGCAATAGAGTTGCAAAGTGGGTTGTCATGAAACCTTAGCAGTCTCCACTGCCATCCTTATGTGAGGATCTCACATGACTGCAACTTGCGACTTATTGCTGGGGAAGCCAGCAGGAAATCGCAAGTCCAGGGCGGTTTGCAAGCAGGCCAGTGGGTGGTGAGTGTAATGAAGTGGGACTGAGCAGAGGTGAGGGGTGGGGGTAGAAACTGTGGCACCATGCAAGCATGGCTAGGCAGGCAGACAGGCATACAATGTGGAATGTGGGCAAGGGGGCACATGTGCTGTGGTGTACGAGATTTCTAAAGAGGGCTCCTTGGGCTAGAAAGTGGCAGGAGTAACTTACCAGAGAGACTTGTTATCTTCCCTACCGTCTTTTCATTGATTTTGCTTGTGGGAAGCTGGCAGGGAAGGTCACAAAGGGCAATCACGTGATTACGGGACATTGCAACTAATATAAGGGTGAGCCAGTTGTCAAGTGCCCAAATCAAGATCATGTACCCTTAGGGATGCTGTGATGGCTGGAACTTTTGAGGACCTGTCGCACGTACCACTTGCTCAGCACCACTGCAACTTCAAATGGTTGCTGAATGAGTAGTGCTTAACCAGGGATTACTTATATGAAAAAGTACAACCAAAACATATAGCAATCCATTTTTCCTTTTTGAGAAGGAAGGCAACAGTCAGCTAAACTTCATCACAAAAATGATGCACTCAAAGTATATACATACAGATGCCTGGAAAATGGCATCTTTATATCTGTTTCTTAAGCTTGTCTATTATGGATGAAAGGAAGAAAAGTGTCATTTACTTCATAGAGAGGTAGAATGGATGATCTCTGAGTACTGCAAGAAGCTCCAGTGAAGTCATGAGTTCTCATCATAGTGTTCTAGGGAGAGGAAAAACAAACATACACCTGCCAGTTAATTTTAACCACCAGAGGCAACTTAGCAGTCAAGCCCTGACACAGCAGACAATGTGAGAATGAGTCATGGACTTACAGAATGAGAGAGCTGGGTCTTGCACTTTATGCTTTTCTAGAACCCAACTTGATGGCTGAATTCCACTATGGTGAAGCAAGAACAGATTTTTGATCCTCAGCCTCCAATCTAGGCCCGTCCCTCAGAACATTCCTTCTCTGTTTGCAGATGTGGGATTACCCTTCAGATTGGCTCTGCCTCTATTGCAGAATCTTAGACTTCTAAAGAATGTGGTGACACAGGCAAGGAAGTTCTAGCACTTGGAAATATAGACAAATAGCAGCCCCTCACTTGAAAATTGATGCAATTTCACAGGTAGCTGCAGGATTTTTCAACTAAGCAAAGGAATAGTTCTAGATTGAAAACCCGTCTCCACCCTTTCCAACCTTCTCTAAATAGCAACAAACACCACCCATGGAGTTATTTATCTGTGAAATAGGTTACACACAGACACTCCCCTAGAGTTGTTTAAACGTGGCTAGGCCAGTATACCCTGGGGCTTTACGAATGAAAGATTTCAAGGAAAAACATTACATTCCATAAAGCAATTTCACATTTAGTCAATGGATTTCACAATACAACTAGTTAACTCTATTCACTTTCTGCTTGACAATCCATAGGGGAAAAAGATATGCCTCTTCAGTTCTATTATATGTAAACGAGAGATTTTATATTCAAAAGTATGTTCAAAAAGGTTAAATCTCTCCAACACTTCCCTCCCAAACATAAGCCTTTGGCAACCATCCTGCAATATGACAGAGATAGTATGTGACAGATATTAAGTGCAAATAGAGAAAAATGTTGCCATGCTTCATGGAAGGAGGTTGCTAAAGGAAGGCTGTCATACTAAATGATAATGTATTAGTCAGAGAAGTAAAATACAATATTCAAAATGTTCAGGTTAATTGTTTTCATTACAAAACATGGGCCACAATCCCAGAATTCCCACATTTGCCCCTTTTTTCAGTTTCATGAATGCTGTCTAGAAATTTGCATGGCATATATTGCCCCATGCTGTGTTTCGTCCTGTTTAATGTACTTGAGGCATGCTTTTTCTCCAAGGAGGACAAAAAAAATAAAAAGTTCAAATTCATGCTTCTTAAAGAATTTTGACTTTTTAAAAATATTTTTAACTTTAATTTGCATATGTAAGAGGCAGTGTAAGCCATTGGGGAAAAGGCATTTTATATAGATCTGGGTGTTCAAATTTTAGTTTGGTGGTTGTTCTTGAGCCAAAAACCTTTCATCTTAGCATCACAATAATTGACATAGGAAAGCTCTGCTTAACATTCCTTTGATCGCAAAGATTATGCATTTTAGTATGAAAATAATGGCAGCATGTTTCCTTTCCCCTTGGTCCTGTCAGCCCTAAGCCATTAATATGCTTTACCCTATTTCACCTTCTAAGCTACAAAATTTATGTTACGTTGGGCAATTTTTCCTATCACGCACAATGATCCATCCCGTATGGTGGGGAAGGTGGACATTGCAATACAGCATACGTGGATGGTTCTAGAACAGAGAAGGACTGGATTATAGCAACCGACTCCACTTTCCCTTACCTGTGAAAGGTTTTGCAAGGAGTTTCTGATTTCATGCAAGACTCGTCTCAGCTGCATTTCAACAGTGGAGGGGGAGTTTATGGAATGAAACCGGTGGGGATGTCCAGCGTGCCTCAACATATGAGGGCAGCCAAAAGGGGAGGGCAATCCCCCACAGGAAGAGCCAGGGGTGCTTGGGATGCTGTGTGAACTAAATGTCCTCATGTGGCCCTGGAAGTGCAGGTCTGGAACATCAGAGTGAAGGGAATGCAAAGAACACGATGACTGAGACATGCATGGTGGGAGGTGCAAAGGGCAGCTTTGAATTCTGCTATGAGCAAACTCATCCGGCCCCTTGTTTCCAATGGGCTGGGAAGGTTCCTTCCTCATGGGTGATGGAGCAATGTGGAGGGTAGATTTACATAAAGGAGTAGAGTTCTTGTCAACGTCTCCAAAGGACGTTTCTTCTGGGGTATTCTTTTTCCCAGGATCATCTTCTCTGTCATACTTGTATGTGAAAGAAGGAGGGCCACACACCATTTTCTTGCCTGGATTTAGCTGGAGATTCACCGAGGAGACAACTCGCACCGGGTTGAGAAGTGTAGTTGGGAGGGACTGGGAGCGTCTCAGAGGATAACCCAGTTCTGAGATCTGATGCCTATTCTTAAAAAGAAGGTCTTTTGATTTGAGCAGGGGGCGACCTGTTCTGGGATTGGAAGACGCACTGTCCTTTCTCTGGGCTCTTTGTAAAGCAACATTAACCAGCTCCACAGAAGAAGGAGAGGAACAGCTACTTTCTAGAGATGATAGCGATTTGAGAACATGGTGAGTTTTATAGGCAGGGAACTCGCATTCACTGCTCTTATCCACATCACTCTCTTCGCTGCTTTCATCCAAGGCTTCAGATTCTGCTTCATGGACTGAAGAAACTTCATTACTTCTTTCTAAGCCAGCTCTCTCAAACTCTTCCTTTTTGCCACTTGAAGAGAATCCATCTTGACGTTCCAACATGTCCTGGCCTCCTCCATCCACCTCAGATACCACCTCTTTCCCCTGTTGCTTCACTTCCAAGAGGAGGAATTTCTCTTCATCAAGCTCACTGAAACAGCAATCTGGCTCAGCAACTGGCGTCTTGAGTTCTTCGCTATAGGATTTCACAGTGTTCTCACTGTCACAGCTATCGGCGCTGCTTCCCATGGCTTGCAGCGAGTCGTGCCCCTGAGGAGAACACATGGGAGATAGGGTGGTGTGAGGGAAAGAAGGATTAATAACATTAAAAGTAGAAAATAGAACACTCGCCTCTTTTCATCAACATGAAAAAGGGAGTTCTACCACAACCACAGCATACCTTGTTAAACAATGCAATTCTATTTCAGAAATTTTACAGATAAACATCCACCCCCCCCCCTCTATTTCAAGATTAATTTGTTCACTGGGATTCTTTTTTTTTTTTTTTTTACTTTCTCCAGGCAGCTGCTTACACATTTGGCTGCCTCTGACAATTTCACAGAAACTCAGGGAAGGCAGTTCTTTAAACCTCCATGGACCAAGCTTTCATTGCTCAAGACAAGTCATTTCTCCATCTCAGGGAATTTTTTCAGACAGGCACAACATGGTACATTTCCTCCTGGACAAATCACTGTTTTGCAATTGCATTTGCAGTGAGGCGATCAGTAGGCCGCATATAAAATATATAAGCAATATTTTTTTAAGGTAATTCTCAACTTACAACAGTTCATTTAGTGATTGTTCAAAGTTACAACGGCCCTGAAAAAAAGCAGCTTTTCTACTTTTCACAGTTACGACCCCCATGATCATGTGATCAAAATTCAGATGTTTGGGAACTGACTCATATTTATGATGGTTGCAGTGTTCCAGGATCCTGTGGTCAGCTTTTGCGACCTTCTGACAAAATCAATGGGGAAGCCAGATTCACCAGATTAACAACCATGTTAAGTAACTTAATAACTGTGGGGCTTCACTTAACAATTGAGGCAAGAAAGGTCGTAAAATGGAGCAAAACTCACTTAACAAATATCTCACTACCTGTATATTGCTTTTATTTCTCTTGGTTAAATTTCACTAATAACATTTTTTAAAAAAAAAACCTTAAAAAGTATTCCCAATTTTAATTGTAAAAGATATTGGTGGCTATAAGCTATGAAAATCTGGAAATCATTGTCATAACTTTGGTAACCGTTATCAAGACTTGTAAAAAACGAAACAGATCTACTTTTAACTTGAGAAGTCTTGACATTATCTAAAGGGTGGTTGGGAAATTCTAGAGAAACTTGAGTATAAGGCACTTACTTTCCCCAACCCTGCTTATCTCCAATTTCCAAAACTCATTATTTATTTAACCGGCTCTTGACCTTTAAAATCCCAAGTAGACTGGAACTGAAGGACGGCCCTCTTGCCCTTCTGCTAACTTAGGTTCCTCTCTTTCTGAGCCTTCTTCTGTCTGCCTTTACCAATAAAGTCTGGCAGGCAGGAGTTATTTGTCTTTGAATACAGAGGACCTCCACCCTTTCCCTTTGTGTCCTCAGCACCGCACATGAGTTATACAATCTCCCATTCCAAAGAGGAACTGGGTACACGGAGTCCCCGAAGCTCTGCAGTCTCGGTTTTGCCCACACACTTTGTTTGTTGTCCTCCTGGCTTCTTTATTAGGCATCAGGCAGAGAGCCATTATTTATGCCATCGACTCCAGGGAAGCAGGAAACCAAGCGCACTTAAGACAAAGAAGTAACAGTCAGGAAGTAGGACACACAGATCCTGCAGCCCTAAATACATCTATGGAATGGGAAGGAGTAAAAGAGAAACATTAATCCAAAAGAGATAGCGGTGTTTCGTTCTCTCTCTCCCTTTCTTTCTCTCGGTGTGTGTTCAACCTTGCATGACTGCAGTGGAATGGGAAGTTCTCTCTTAGTATAGATAGTCAAGGGAACAAGCCAAAGGCAAGAAAAGTAAATCCACAATTTAAAAAACAAGTATACTTCCTATGTTTTTTATTGTGTTTCTGATTTTGACAGTGATGTCAAATCCTTCTTAAGTAGTGAATTTAATAGATCTGATGTCTGAGTAAACTCATTCATAATTACACCACATAATTCCTTTTTAAAAATTATTTAGATCCTTTTTATAAATCTGCTGTTTGATCTCATAGCCTCTTTAGAAATCTGCCTTTACCAGTCTACCCTTGGGCAAAGTAGGGACTCTTAAGAAAATTCCTTTCCTCACTACTCCAATGAATTCTTTCTCTAAAGCAGAAAAACGCTGGTATAGAAAAAAATTGCAACTTAATTATAATTTTCACCGCTCCTTTCCATTTGTCCTGACACTGACTAGGTCCCCTTTTGTTTATCCTGAGCAATGGGGGCCTGCTTTGTGGCAGAAAATGTTTGGGCTCAAAGGATGGTTTTTGCATAGGATAAGAAGGAGGTCCATACACCTTGTTGGCATCACTACTCTAAAGCAGGTGTGTCCAACCTGCATCCCACAGGCCGCATCCGGCCCTGGACAGTTAGTAATGCTAGATAATAAAAAATATTAAAACTAAAAGAAGCTTGTTATTTATATGCATTTACTATTATATTTTATATAATAGGCAAGTCAAAATGTTGGGCAACCATGCTCTAAAGTGATATATCTGCTTGCTTCAGTTTGATTGGTATAAAATGGGTTTTCTCTGGAGCATCTCCAAGCTTAATGGGTCATAAAGTGAGTCATCTACCAAGAATTGCAGGTCATAATGCTTCTGTTCTGAATTTTACCAAGCAAAATACAAGAGTATGGAAAATGAGTAGAAAGGAAAAATGTTGTTGATTCCGATTTATGTGGCAGATATTCAGCAGAAACATAGCCCTCTTGGTAGCAGCTTCAATGTCACTCAGTGCTCTTTCCCAAAGAAGTTTACGATGGCATAAACTTTTAGGTTCAAGAAAATAAGCTGGCATTTCCAGAAATATTTGGCTGATTAAGTTAAACTTTTAAAGACTCTTCCCTGTTCAGTGCTATAGGCCAGAGGTCCCCAACCTTGGCCACTTTAAGACTTGTGGACTTCAACTCCCAGAATTTCTCAGCCCGCCATGCTGGCTGAGGAATTCTGGGAGTTGAAGTCCACAAGTCATAAAGTGGCCAAGGTAGGGGACCCCTGCTATAGGCAGTTGTGAGTACTGCATTTTTATACTGCTGCTGGTATTGTACCTGGAGAGTGAGGATTACCTCTTGCAATCACAGTGGAAAAGAAATAAGAAATAGCAGTCTTGCAGCTAGAAGGTTCTGTTGCAGTTCAATCCAACCATCCAGGTACAAAAGAGACATCCTGTTACTGAATTAGATTCCTAGAAAACAAGACCTTTGCCATGTTTCCTCTAGAAAAGCCAAAGGATCCCCTTGCTCACACCGCAGATTGCTTAGAATGGGAAAAGTAGAAATGAAGCAATCCAAGAAATTTACCTGCAGTTGATTGAGCAAAAAGCAGTCAGTAGAAGAATCTTCTGCAAAGCCACTGCTGTCAGAATGCTGACTTGCTGATCGTAAGAGCTGATCTATTAGTGGGGGTGAGGGGAACAGGAAGACAAGAGAAATGTTAAATGCTCAGCAAAGCTTCCAACATGTAAACAATTCTCCATTTAGCTGGCAAGAGGATACGTGCATTTATTCATTCAGCTGAGAGCCCTGACCTACCAACTCAAAAGCCGGCTCTCATTCTCGGCTTCCAGACAAAGCCTAATTGTTTCTCTGGCTCTGTTTAGCCCTTAATTGGGCCTTTAGATGGTTAATTTCTTTCTTTACATTATATGATGACACTTTATTCTGAGGTGCTGGGGCCACCCCTCATTTTATTCTCAAGACAAACTTCTGGAGTGAACAGTACTGAGTGTTGTGATGTAACCTAAAAAGAACTAATGAAATTCTCTGGTTACAACTGGACTTTGAACCTAGTTCTCCAAATTCACAATTAACATATTAATTAATGAAACATCATTCCCCCCCCAGAAATTAGACTTGCTCCAATCCTGCTGATTTTTTGCAAGGTACTAAAAAACTGGCTTTGCCATGAAGTCTAGGATCCTGATAGCATGGGTGAGCCTTTTTCATGACTAAACAAGTATTTATAAGCATTCTTATCTGCTTTTATTTCATTTTTTGTCAGGTGCAAGAAATCAGGAAGCCAGGGGGTTCAAATGACTATAGGTTTATTGTATGCTAAAGCTCTCCACAAGAATCTGAACTACTAATGGTCAAAGCAAATTGGTGGTAGATAAGAGCCAGTGGAATTCAAGATAGGCTGGACTTAGATCTCTTGTGGGTGGGAAGGGACTTGAGACTTATGACACATTTGATCCTTCCCTCGGGCTCAGCCTGATCATCCCTCTCTCGGGCTCAGCCTAATCATTCCTCCCTCGGGCTCAGCCCGGTCATCACCTATTTTTAATTCTGGTTGGAGATTTTTTTTATTGCTTTTTATTCTATTTTAATTGAGAATTACCTAGTCATGTACAGTATATGAGATGAGAAGCTTATAAATGTACTAAATAATTAAATATCAACTGCACAGACTGCATTTTTAATTATTTTTAATTTTTGCTTCAGTGGTATACTGTATGTTTAAAAGGATGCTGTCACCATGTCTCCAGAATATGGATATAAATATAGAGATTGCATCTGGATGAATTTGAATAAATGAATGAATAAAATACTGTTTTAAGTATTTTTGAACTTTTGAGTATTTTTTTACTTTAAAAAAGTAAAACTCTATTTTGATTTTTTGTTTAAAGAGACATTCAAGTCATGTACTTTTCTGAGGGTAAACACCTCTTGTACAGAGGCCCAACCAAAGAAGAGACATAGAGGCAATTGTTCAGCTAGGATTGAAGCAGGCTAAGCTTAGAACTGAACAGAACCTATGGTATATCTCCTTCAAGCCAACCCAAGCATGGCTTAGCATGCTATATGCTGCAGCTTCACCCACAATTTTTCCAGCTGATGCAAGAGCGTTTGGGAAAATAGCCCATGTTCTATGTGAGGCAGACTTTAAAACATTCCAACAGGTCCAGCATATACAAAAACAAAAACAAAAAAACTACAGAGTGGTGATTTTCAACAATGGACTTGTATAGACACATTTAAAATGTACAGCTAGAGTAAATACTTTTGATGATCCAAAAGCAACCCTCTTTTCGCGCTCCTGGATTACATTACTTGCAAAAACTGTACAGTTTATAAGGAGTGAAGTAATAAGCAGATTGTAGACATTTCTAAACTATCAGAAACTTCAAGTGTTTTACATCCTTAAGATCAAACACAGCTTTAAAAAAATCAGAACAAATGAAGGGGAATTCCAAGTGCTCTATAATCTTCTAGACTAGATCAGGGCAAATTAAAGTCAATTTTTATATATTGAAAACACATCCTCAGACATTATTAATATGTTGCCTCTAAGTGTAAATAATATGATTATTTACACAAATACATAGCTGAGAGATGAACAGCAGTTAGTTTTGGGGAAAGACTTCCAAATTTTTCCTCCCTCCTATTAGAAGAATGTTTGCCTTATTATGTGTGGTTTTAAAATATAACACAGATGGCACTCTTGTAATCAAAATAAATAAAACACAGCAAGGCCCTTTATTGTTTTTTATCCTCAACTTTCATCTCTCTCTCTCCCTCCCCCCTCTCCCTTTCCCTCTCCCTCTCTCACCAATGAATTTTCATATTGAAAAAATAACATGCTTGGAATTCCATTTTAAACAAGAAGGGTGCTCAGGAGAATGTCCAAACATAGACTACTGCATTGTCGCAGCAGTAATGCTCCAGAATCAGTGGTCATGGATCATTTACACTGAAGAGCTGCTGAAACTGCAGCCATTCTTCACATAATACAAGCATTTAAAGGGTCCTAAGTGGCCCTTTAAGGTTTGAAGAGCTCAGGATACAATTGGTTGAATCTAGCTTTTCTTTCTGCCTTTGGCGCCACTCTACAAATGGAATTTACTACTGGCAGCAAAAAGGGAGAGTTGAAGAGGCGATTTTACCCAGAATAGCAGATGTTTAGGAGGTGGGCTGGGGAGCATTTCATGAAAGTTGCCTCCCCTTTTCTACCAGCGGACACACTCTGCTGAATAAGCAGCATTCCACAAATGAAACATGTTTGTGTTTATACTTGCATCTGACTAGGCATGCATGCCCACACACAGAAATATATATATAAATAGAACATGCTACGTATATAAATAGAACATGCTACTCAAAAGTGCTTGTCTTTTCAATAATAGAAATAATGAAGCAAATGTTAAGTGAAAGGAATCAATAACCAAGCTCATTCCACTCTGTGCTAAAGCATGCCCTTGCAATTCTAATGAATATGTTATGATCTGAAGATTTCCACCCACCTATAAAGTTCTTTGAAATGTCCCACTATGCTCACTGCGTCCTGATCAGTAATAAAGCTTTGTCCGATTGCAATCTTCTTCAGCTGTAAGAACAGCTCTGCCAGATCAGACCAATACACATCATCTTTTTGTTTCTTTCTAAGATCAGCCTTAGAAGTATAATGTGGACTTACCCTTCTCTAGCCACTGCTCCTCTGCAACTAGTATTTGGAGGTAGGATGTCCTGTATCCCTAGGTAACACTGAATGTTCAAGACTAGCCCTTAATTAGATCTTTCATGAATTTATCGCCTCCCCTTTTAAAACCATCCAAGTTGATGGCCATTGCCACATCCTGTGATAATGAATTCCACAGTTTAATTATTAGCTGTGAGACCTTCTGTCTGTTTTAGATTTCCTTCCACACAGTTATCTTGAATAGCCCGATTTTACTCTTTTGAGAGAGTGAGAAACTCTCATCTCCTTCTCCACATTGTGCATGATGTTATATATCTGAATAATAATAATAATAATAATAATAATAATAATAATAATTACTTCCAGATTTTAAACGAACCTGTCTCAAACATTTTAACCATGATTGAGCCCCTTGATCATTTTGGCTTCCATCCTTTTGTACCAATTCCAACTGTCATGTCATGTCAACCAATAGGCTATGCAGTTATTTTTGTTTATGTAATTTATAAGAAATAACAAAAGCTGAAGACTGGAACGTGGGAAAAATCACTGCATGTATGTTTACTATTCAGTAGGATCAACAGTAGAATAGGGAAGGTGTTGGACTAGAAATAGTGAAGTTCTGTTAATAAATGAAGGGCTGTGGAGTATGGTTGGATAAAACATATGAAGCTGCTGCAAAAATAAAACATGGAAAAGAAGAAGTCTACAAGCTCAGACCTAAGCTTTTTAGAAGGAAGAGACAAGAAAATAATGATCAAGGCCATAACTTCTAATTTAGCTCAAACAAAATGCTAGTGGTCCAGGGTTCTTCTAAATTAAAGGATTTTAGGAAGCCAAACCTTTAAGAGTTGCCACTAGCCAGAATTATGTCCCCAATAATCAAATAAATCCACTCCCTATAAAGCAGATTCACACAGGAATGTTTCTATTCTAAACTGTTAAGATATCTGAATGTTAATTTTTTTCCTTGCACAGTTAGATATTTATTTTTAAATATGTATTTGAATTTTGGCAAATGCCAGTAAGGCAAACCTCATGGCCTGTATAAGATGTACCCATTAGGCCATCCATGAATAAAAAAACCCCCATGATTTCCTGAATCAACATTTCTTTAACAATATTGAATATTGTGCATGCTGAACATTTCAGCAACACTTCTTATTATAGTACATAGCAAATGAGACTTTTTGTTCCAGTCCTGTCCTTCACCAAAGGAAACCCTGTGAGAAAAACATACCTCTACTTGGGTTATGTAATAACAAATACCAATGCTGAACACACAAAAGACAAACTTGTTTCCCATTAATTAAAATTCATTATCTAATTTAACAGTACATTAACTGTACTGGAGAACTTTTTTCTCTCTGAACAATGTGTTACTAAGTTAAGCTGATTATGATGAACACTTACATTAAGAAAGAAACACTATTCATAAAATAGACAATGCAAATTAAAAAGCCTGCTGTTAATAGAAAGAAATGGAATTACAAATTCTATGAATTTAATATAAAATGCTAACGTATTTTATCTTTATGCCTAGGCTTTTTTAAACAAGGAAGCAAACCAATGGGATAATGCATATTTTACTGCAACCCCGTTAAGTTACTGCTAGCAGCTGAAGTCTGATCTTTGAACAAAGCTATGAAAAATATATTATCAGTTTAACAAAGAAAATGAAAACAAAATCAAAGTAGTAGCTTTGGAGGCAAGTCATAAGCAAACAAGATAAAAATAATACATCTGTTGTGAACAGACTTACGAAATAAGCAGTGGAAACAGATTGACAGATAACTAATGAAATACCATCCAAACAAACGCCAAGGATTTTCACACAGGATTTAAACCAAGCCTAAAGAGCTCAAACTCACAGATTTAGTCTGGTAGTAACTGCTTATTAAATACGCTTATAACTAAACTAAGAGTAGATGGTCAGATATATATGTGTCTAAGCTCCTGAGCTAAGATATAAACATACATACTGCATTCTCAACCTGCTAACAACAGTCACATTCTGAAGGAAAATTAGAGCTGTTTCATTCTATGTTCAGTGTGATCTTTGTTGATTAATTTTCCTGATCAAGCAGTGGACAGCTATTCTCTTTGCTACTGTAGTCTAAACCATTTATTACTCCAAACATGGGATCTTTCTTTCCATTCCACTTTGTTCTCCTATAGTGAGTAGCAGAAGGGTGCAATTAATGTGGACACTCAAGGTAAAAACTACATGAGCATCGCTATAATCAGTCATTGTATGCCCTGATCTGGAAATAGAAAGTACAGTCCTAGAACAGTCTTACAATGGAGGAAACCTCACCGACCACACTTGAGACTTAACATTTGTGTCTTAATGCTAATGTGTAGAGCTCCTCTGTCTCAATGGCTGAACACAGAAAACTTTTGTATCATCAACACTTGGAGAATAATAAAAAGCTTTTTGGTCTGGGGTATGTCGTTTTAAAGTTCAAAACAGTTTTTTTAAATGACAGGGCATCCTTCGCTGATATACATATATTGCACCACTTCAACTTCTCCACCCTACAACTAGTGAAGGATCAGAAAAGTCAAACCCTTAATTAAGATTACAAGTCTGATGTAGCCTCTGTCATTTTAGGATGCCCTTTCCCAAGAAGACACTATGATTTTAAAACTAATTAAAGGGCAGACTAGCAGATTACGGGTGAGCCACTATTTAAAAAGCTTAAAGTATTGGGCCAACATTCAGAAGTGAGGATGTTCCAGGAGGAACAGGGGGGGGGGGGGAATCTACTCACCTTTTTTTGTTTTGATTAAAGCCCGCTGACTTGCATTTGAAGCGTGTGGAATCTCTCCCTCTGTGCTTTGAATCTGCAGGAAAAAAAAATCAGTGCATTTTTAAACCTATGCTTGCAGGCAATAAGCTTTCTAGTGAATATGCATGGTATTTATATCTTGCATAACTGGCTATTTAGTAATTAACAATTCCAAATACAATAAGCTTGGCAAACCAATGGAGTCCATTATTGCTGTTTATTATTGGTGTATCTTTTTCAGACTTCCTGGAGTGATAATGCTAAAGTTGGAACACACAGAAACAATAAAATGTGAAAAAGCTGTGACATCAGTAATTTAGGATAAAAGTCTTTTTTAAGAACAATGAGGCAGACTCAAAAAAAAAAAATCAGCGGCATATCCCATGAGGTTTCCTTTTGGAAAACTTTTAGGCAAACCAACACAGAAAGCTCAGTAGGGGGGAGTCAGGGGAAAAAGTTTCTAGTCTAACTGAAACTCAAGAAAACTATGATAGCTAGTTTGTACATTTCACAAATGTCTTGTTCAGAGGCTATGTTAAAAAAAAAAAAAGCAAGAAGAGAGGAAAGGAGAAAAATATATTCAAGATAACGCTTCTATTCTATCTCCTAAAGAAACATTTTAACTTCGTTTCTCAGGGCTCCACAAAACTTCAAGCCTAAATAAATACTACTGAAAAATTAAAAGCTACCCCAGACTACTTTCATTTTTAGCTGATGCTGTGTATCTTTTTACTGTTTCAGAATATGGCAGATTCATCCTCCAAAGATTACAAATCTAAAACACAATGTCTTACATGGGAAATACTGCAAGGTTCAGTTTGCATGCCCCCCCCCCCAGGAAACAACAAAAAGAAACTAGACAGGAAGTTTTTGTTTAAAGAGAAAACAAACAGTGTCCACTTTTGGATGTACACCACAAGACAACTGATAGAAGCTCTCTGGATTAACTTATTCCTTATGAAAAAATGATAATCCAATTAACTTTAAAATATTTTGGATTATCTGGTCCAAAGCTACCAATCTAAGGAAGTATAGCTATGTTTAACAACAATTGAGAGCTAGGGAATTATGAATGCACAGAATTTCTATGCTGAAAAGTTGTATTTTCCCTCCTTCCAAAAAACAAATAAATACCATGAACACACACCTGACAGGAGCATAAAATGAGAAGCTTACAGCATAAGATGTTGGCTGAAGTCCCATTTATATACAATGGACATTATACATAACCTATTTAGTATTTGTGAGTTTGCCTTTGGGAAAGAGAAGCAACTGATCCACCATGCAGCCCTCCTCCTCCTGCTGCATAGTGCTGTCCCAGAAGCAAGTGTCATTTTGGGAATGGAAAGAGCCGCTTCATGCATGCCATCCTGCAACAGGACCTTCCTGGGAGTGGCTTGCAATTCTCACAACCTGAGAATTGCAGGCGCTTCCAAAATGGTGCCCACTTCTGAGAAGCAACCACAGTGCCTCCATATAGGAATGCCACATGGATTAGCTGTTTCTCCTTCCCAAAGGCAATCTTTGGAAGTAGTGTGATGGACCAAGGCATAGAAGGGTGGATGGGAGCCAGAGGGATGGGAAGCAGAACGGGGTGCCTCAAAGGTAGGGGAGGCCCTGAGAAGCCCAGGGGAGCCATATGTGAGCTGGGGAAGTGCTGCAGTGCAGGCTCCTAGGGCTTCCCCTATCCCCTGAGTGGAACTCCGTGATCCTCTTAACAATCGCAATGGCGAGAGCAGGGAAATATGAACTCAATTTATGGTCATAAGTTAAGGACCACTTTTTCTTTCTCCCTTTGAAGTTCTGCTTGCCCAAGTATCTTCTTTCCCCAAATCCTGGATTCTTCTTCAAAAACTGTGGTCCTTTTCAATCATTGTGAAGCTATCATTTTTTATTTTGAACAGTGTTATTGTTCTTGATTTTATCTTCAGAACCTTTTCCCAGGCACAAAATGAACTAGTTCACCTCTGAAGCTTTAATATAAAATAGAAGTGCTCTAAATCAGTGGTTCTCAACCTGTGGGTCGGGACCCCATTTGGGGTCGAATGACCATTTCACAGGGGTCGCCAAACAACGCAGTCCGCCATTTTTTTCCCCTTTTCCTTAGCTGTGCTACTCCCTTTTATTCTATTGGCTTTTGAAAGCCAATAGAATAGACTCTCTTGAATAGAGTCTAATTCTATTGGCTTTCAAAAGCCAATAGGAATTGTCCAGGCTGTCTCTGCCCTGCTGAGCCCGCCAAAAGTCCCAGTCTGCTACGCTTCGGACGGCGCAGGGGGCGGCACCACGCATGTGCGGCGCTCCCGGTCAGGGAAAGTCCTCGACTTACGACCGGTTGGGGGTCGCGGTATTAAAAAGGTTGAGAACCACTGCTCTAAATAGAAATAGTAATTCAAGCAGTATCTTAAATAAAGCACAGAATAAGTTTGATTTCATTGGCTTTTAGGTACATTTCCTTCTTATTTGTCCTCTCAGCATTGTAGACATAGGAAACATGTCTTCACATTTTTAGAAGCCCTCTAAAATCTAGTAACACATGGAACTATAAATAGCCCTTTTAATTACAGATGTAATTAAATGTAATCAAAATGTGTAGACAAACTGCAAGGACAAAACCTTTCCATGATTGTTTTTAATCTAGAGGTAGTAATTAACATAAACTTGAAACTCTACGGTATTTAATTCTAAGATTCCAATTTCAATCTGGGGAATTTCAAGACATCTTAACATGAGTGATTATTATTCTGGTTTTTTTTAATGTTTTATGGAGTAAAAAAAGGAAAGAGAGTTCCAAGAGACAGTAAAAAAGAATATTAATCAAGCCTCACACATTTTGCCTAATACAGGTTGTTTCAAGAGAACCGTAGAAGAGGAATATGAAAACATACATCAAACATTACATTTGTTATACTGTGCAACTAATAGGTCAGAACACTTGCTTTTTAAATTAAAAATATAAATATTGTATTATTATATAATTGTTACATTATAGAGATACCTAAGTATATCTAAACACTGCTTTTTTAATCTCCTTGAATCTAAAAAGACACATGATTTCATAAGTTGGCACATATTCATGCTATTAAGAAGATTTTTAAAAATAAACATGTGTCGATATTTTTGAAAACAACATTTTTTTTAAAAAAAATTGTAGAGTTAAAGAACTCCTAGAAGTGAATTTTTAACAAACTTGGCTACCTCCTGAATAACAAATAAGATAGTATTTTTACAAATACATGTAGCCAATAGTAAGACAGCAATTTTAAGATATTTTGATTTTGATTTTTGACGGCATGACTAAATATTGGCTGATCTGTAAAATATGACCCTTTGATGATCTGAGACAATGAGGGGAGCTGTAACGGTGAGGCACCAGACTTGAAATGTGGAGTTCAAGTCCTGATTTAGGCATGAGGCCAGCTGGGTGACCTTGGCCAGTCACTTTCTCTCAGCCCTAGGAAGGAGGCAAAGGCAAACAACTGTTTGAAGCCTTGGGAAGAAAATTGCAGGGACTTGTCCAGGTAGTAGCTAGAAATAACACTAATTGACACTATCTAAAAGAATCCCTAGTAATATGTAAAATATGATAAGAAAAATGAAGATCAATTATATTAAAAATCCATTTTAATAATTGTCTCACACCAAAAATGTTGGAATGCTTATTTCTGTTGTATTTTCCTTCTCCTATAAGTTTCCATTTTGCAAAAGTTTTTTAGATAGCAGGAATTCAGCTCGACCTGAGAGATTAATTTTACTTCAGTTTAGTTTCATGTTGACACTGGAGTTAATACATGCTTAATACACTTTTGCAACACTGGTATCTTATTTATAATTTTCTTTGAGGAAAAGAGCTATATTACCATATATGTGGGGATATATTGGAGTCTTTTCATGAAAACTTCTGTCCTCGGAAGCTTTATCCAGCTTGTATTGCTGGTTACATTGTAGAGTCACGAACTCCAATTTTCTTGAGTCAGAATTGTGTTCCAAAATGTAATTTAATGCAATGTTATTTGTCAAGTTGGAATAGCTAAGAGATCCATCACGTTTGCTATTTCTGTTTCTTTTAAAAGGTTCTTTGGATTCTCAGAACAAAGTAATATTTGTCACTCCCTAAAAGGAAGATTAAGCACTGACTAGATCTCTACTATCAGTCAGAAGCTGCATGCAGGGGAATGTGAGGACCTCTACTGCATGAATGGACTGGGTGCACCTGACACTCTTGTTTGCCCAACATAAAGAAATAGCTCTCCATATCAACATGGGAAACCCCTAGCAAGCATGGTGGACTTATTTGCAAGGTTGAATTGAAAGTATTCCCATTTAGTTGTCTTTATACATCCTGCTATTGAGGCAGAATGATTAAACTACAATAAGAAACACATACCAAAACAGCAGTCTTGTTGTCAGCCACAATATGCTAGCAAGTGGATTTTGACTTAATTCTGAATACCAGTAAAAAGGGAACCATATAACTGCTAAATGAATGTGTATGTAGGATCATGATTATTTTTACTACACTATCCACATCAGGCTTACTCAATCTGTGTCCTTCAACAATGCCAAACTCTCATAGTTAGCCTTTCACCCTGACATATTATGGAACACATCCAGAGGGTGCCAACCACATATACTTCCTGTGTGAGACTGGAGACTCTACCTATTCAAAAGTCCTTGATCATACACAACGACTTATTGGCATGCTTAATAGTGATAAGGCAGGAGTCAGAATTTTGGTATCCCTGTCCAAATATTTTGGATTACAACCTTCACTGTTCCTGCCCAATGGCCATACTGGTTAGACTGTGGAAACTGTAGTAAAAAAAAAAAAAAATCTGCAAGGCATTCAGTGTTATATACTTGTTGAATGTGAGTAATGTTGGAATAGTGTTAGAAGCGTTCTAAGATGAGAGTATAAAAACGTAAGAAGAAAAATCACAGGAGATGAAACTAAAAAAAAAAAATAGAAAAATGTGACTTTTCTGATACAAAACCAAAAAGAAAGATACCCTTTCAAAACTGCTATTAAGAGGTGCCAGGTTGGTTAAGCAACTCCGAAGTTTGCACTGCTTTCTTAAGAGAACCCGTCTCCTTATTTCACAACTCCATTTTCAGACACTTCTTCAGCTCTAAGTTGTTTTTGGTGATAAAATTGCCATTTTTTTTCATAGAATACATTCTGACAATACTGCTTTATTAAAATAGAAAATCTAAAATCAAAGGACTTCCTTTCAGGAAACTAGCCTATTTTCAAGATACCAAACTAAAGCATTGTGTTCTTGTTATCACTATTTAAAACAAACAGAATAAATACTATTGACATGAAAATGGTTTTGAGCTTCATCCAAGGAAGCAAAATGGGGATATTTCAGCATGCAATTTGCAGTAATATCTTCAGAACAGGAGGGAATGTGGAACCAAATATTAGCTCCAACTCCTTTTGGCCCTGTCTCTGAACATTATATTGTGGTTCAGGATAAACACCCCAAAGTAAAACTGGCTTTAAATGTGGAGGGACCCTTGGCTGAAGATAGGGATGCATCTCTGCCAAACTCTAATAAGTCTCCACGAGCTTTCCAGAATATGGACTTTTCTGATGGAAGGCAGCAGCAAATTGACTTTCAACTAGAAAAGTTACTGGCAAGTAGACTTCCTTTTTGAGGTTCCAGGATGCACTGAGGGAATATCTCGTTGGGTTCTTGGGAAAACAGTAAGATAATACACTTCCTATTCAACTGCTACTGGTGATTTTTTATATCTAAGTAAAGATGGAGGGAGAAAGAGATGTTAGAGAGCTCAAGTTATTAGTTATTCTAAGTGCTATGAGCAACACTACCATATGGCATAGCTAATTGGGCACAAGCAGTGCTTTTTTTGTAAAAAAAAAAAAAAAAAAAGGTGCTGGAACTCACACATGTTATACAACCCGCCTTACCTACCCTACAAGATTCCATCCAAAAAAGGTGCCGGAAATCCGTTCTGGGTGTTCTATGACAAAAAAAGCCCTGGGCACAAGAATTAAAATATGTGCTTCAACCATAACATGGAAACTTAAAATAGATTGAACTCTACTAGTATACTCCCCAGAAAGGCCAGTATAGCCATGACCTAAGTGTGGGGGGGGGGAGGCAACCTTGGCTCTTTTATGACTTGTGGACTTCAATACTCAGAATTCCTGAACCAGCCATGCTGACTGAGGAATTCTGGGAGTTGAAGTCCACAAATCATAAAAGAGCCAAGGTTTCCTACCCCTGACTTAAGCCTTTATTTCCAATCCTTCTGTGTCTCTCTTCCACAAACACACAAATCTGAGGGCCTTTAATTATCCTAGATAGATTTAATTGGGGAGGGGTTTCTGTTCAGCCATGTGGATAGCAGCCAATTATCACATCTGAGCAGATTCAGGAAGTATTCTGAAGAGGAGCTATCTAGTTTAACCCTGAATATAAATAAAATCCTACGAGTAAAGCCATTCTGACTGATAGATCAATAAAAGAGCTGGCCAAAATTATTTGAACTTACTCAACAATACAAAGGCCTTTAATGTCTTCATAGCTTTGAACGTTTCCCCATCTGATTTTGCATATGCATGCAAACACTACCATGTGCATGCACTCGGAGGAAGCAATGGGTTAAATGATGAAAAGTACATTACAGTATTACAACTGAAACTCTATTCATTTTGCATATGTGTTGTGGCATCATACACTCATACATAAAAGACAGACCCTTAATTATGGTATCTTGTGCCACAAATATTTTTCTTTTTAATTTGGCATCATGATTCAACAAATGCTTCCACAAACTGCATTTATTTGCAATCCTCCAAATGATTTTGCCCAGCCCAAGTCAATAACCCCATACCCAAAGAATTAAACAGCATTCTTACTTGAGAGTGCAAAAAATCTCCTTTTCTTAAAAGCGTACCCATTTGTGTCGGTGCAAGCCACTTTTTGGAAGAGAAACTGATGAAGAGGTACACTAAGCCAATCACTTTAGATAATTTAGATCATTTTGCATGAGGAGTGAATGGCAAATTTAATCACATGGAATACACGGAGGTATTAGAAATCCTTGCTACCAGGAGAGATATTGGCAATAAGGCAGTACATGTCTTTGCTGAAAGTTAAGCAAGGCTGTAAACCCAAAGGTGCAGCAACAAGCAATCTCAGGAGAGGAGGTTTTGGACCTACAGAAAGTTTTCTGGGTTTTCTGTGTGTGCGCTAACAGCTCTCTTTTGGCATACCACTTCTTGGGTGTTCCTGGACAACAACAGAATTGGAGGCATAAGCAGGATCTACTGGTAGATTTCTGGTTCATTTGCATTTGATTGCCAAATGTTTTTATTTTCCAATTAAACTGTAGAGATGAAAGAAACTTTGGAGCACGGTTTTATGCAACTCAACTGTGATCCCATTTCTAATGCAGAAAATAAGCTTCTGACCCAAGATACTGAGTCAGCGGTATAGTAAATCTTTTAATGGTAAACTGCTTTAACTGCTTCATAAATGAGACTTCATGGGTCTCCCTTTGTTCTTTTTTAATCAGAATTTCTCCACCAAAAAAAAACAATACTCAGCTTCTTGCATGCCAGATCACCAGAACTGCCATTTTGCTGAAAAGTTCAGAAGCAAATTCTGATTATGCCACTTAGTTTTCTCTTCCCGTCTGTTTCAGAACTGAAGTCAGAGATACTGAAATATAAACAGAAGCAGAAATGGCCTCTATGCATTTGAATCAGTTCCGCCAGAGAAAAGAAAAAAGATAGATGCTGGAATAGGAATGTCATTGGTAAAAAATCAAAGTAAGATCAGAGCAAAATCAGGCAGCTTGCAATAGCAGAGAGTTAAAGAACAGGGAAGACATAAAATAGAATATTTATTTATCTTATTATAATATACTATGTAAATAGAATATATATACACTTCTCCTTAATGTAGCATCCATAGGAAACATCTCCTTTTAAAGCTGATTTCTGTAAAAATATGACAGCTGGAAGATAGATAAAACTCTAAAATGTTGGGAAGCCGGGATTTGTACTCAATAACAAGTTGCTACCTTCAACTATAGCTGCACCGCAATCTCTAAAACTACATACAACACACAACTGAAACATTAACCACAGCTCCTTTAATAGTCTTTAAACAAAACAAACCCCAAAGCAAAAGACATAGATGTCTCTGCAAGGCAAATTACTACTGTTATCAATGCATATAAACATCCATCTTACAAGCCATTTGCTAGGTTTCAGTTTGCAAAGGCGACTCCGTGACTTCATTTGCTCCTAGGGCTCTGCTGGAGTTTCTTGTCCTCCCTTCTCCACTGGGGGATTAGGCAGTTGGGGTGGGATAAGGGGCTGATCCCATTCCCTCACCCGCCTCTGCTGCGGGCCACAGGGTCAGAATCCTGCCTGCATTTCTATTTGCAACCTTTGCCCTGTTCCCTCCACCCTTCCACATCTCCTTTGCCAATATCAATAAGGATGCCAGCACAAATGCATCCAATTGGCTGAGAATGCAGAGGCCAGAACTCCTGGGAAAACAGTGCCTTGACTCACTCTCCCACGCTGGCTATCTTGACAGCAACAGACTTCCGACAGAAGCCCCAGCCGCAAGGACTTGGGACAGCATGGAAAACTGTGCCCTCAATATCTCTGCCATGATACGTGCAAAGAAAACATTCCAAAGTCAAACTTGGAATGAAGAAAAAGCAGACCTTTAGGGCACTCCCCACACTGTCTCATAGTGTTTTTCTATGCCCAAGACAATTAGAAAAAAAAATAAAAAATAAAAAGTGGAACTTATCCTCATTTCTGCCATTAATAGTTAGGTTCCTCACTTCTGTGAACTAACCGTAAACCCATAAGCATAACATGATCACATTATTTCAGGCGTATTTCTAAATTCCTAAATTTATTGGTCAAAAACAAATGAACCCTCGTATGTTAGCCTGAAATGAAAACATCATAGTGAGCAAATATTTTGCAGTTTCAGAAGAGATCTAGGGTTTGGATAAAAAATGACGTAGCCGAGAGGCAAACAAAGGTGCTTTAATGCGGTCATCAAAATTAGAATTGCTTAGACTTGTCACATGGGTAAAATTATTAGCATTAATCATGTCAGGACAGAGATACAAATAGTATCCAATCATTAATTTATTTAGGGATGAAATCCAGTAACTTGAAACATACCTAGAATAAGAATATATAACTCGGAACTCTACAGAATGGTAAGACCAAATTCAAGTTGTTACAGCTGGCATAAATAACAGAAAGGAATGGTGTAAATTGTAGTCCAGATTATCTGGAGAACATCAGGTTACTTGTTCCTGACCTAAAAGGATAAAGCTTTAAATTCATCCATTGTCTATCTAATTCAGTATTACCCACACTGGAATAAGAGCTTCTCATTAAATTGTAATAGGTTAACAGGCCTGTTTTAGAATTTAAAATATGGTTCTTATGTAAGTCCCACCTAAAATGAACACAAATCACGCTGTCAGTTTTCGTGGTCATATGGAGCTCCAAAGAGCATAAATAAACAAATAAAATTAAGAGGCCACAGGCTGCTACATTTCTAACAGTAACTAAAAATAACAAACATGCTGTATCTCTGGCTGGTTTTTAAGCACAATTTAAACAAGAGCATCTCAAAAGAGTATAATCTTCCTTCACATTAGTAACTCCAACCCCTTTTTATGACCATACCTATAGATGAAATACTCACTAAAAATGGATTAAGGTTGTACATGAAGCCATGAAGGTTTAAAATTGTAGTTTAAGATCTTCTACACTGGGTACCAAAGAACCATTTTAGCAGCTTATCAAAATTCTGTATCCAACATTTGTGTGGTCTACGGGGAAAAACAACTCTCGAAAGTCCCCTACATAGTTCTACCAACATCTACCAGGTACCAGATTGAGAAAGATTGTGCAGAATATGAAGGAGAATCAGCACGTGAGGAACTACAACATCAAAGCAACAATAATCCTTATCTCTTTCCACATACCTCCTCCATCTCAAAGGAGTCCTTCTGCTGCAGCATGAGGCTGGCAATAGACGGAATGGTTAGTAGAAGAGAGGCCTCTTTATCAGCCACTGAAGTTGCAGGCATTTGAATTGCCCTGATATCTTGAGGTTCAGAACTAGCTGACTCCAGAGTATCACCTACGAGAGTAGAAGAGTTCATAGCAGCAATCTTTTCATGAAATCCACCTGTATGTCCAAAAGAGTTATTATTTTGCTTATCTTCATAAGAAACAGAATAACCTTGAGTTTCCTGCTGAACGCTAGTGTCAGGAGAAAGTTCTGAAGAATCCAGAGCTCCTGGTAGGCTGGACTGATTGCAAGGTGCTTCTTCTTTTACTGTCGCCAACAAAGATGCTTTGAAGTGTTTTGGAGTTTTCACTTCTGGTTCTTCACTCCCATTTTCAGATTTGCCCTTCTCAGCAGATAGACTGCTGCCGCCATCTCCCGCTTGAGGGTTCCCGTAGAGATTGAGTTTAGACAGAGTCTTCATCAAACGACTCGCTGTGTTACTTCGTGTTAGAGGAGGTGGGCTCGATGCCTCTTTACTGGAAGATGTTGAATTCATGCTCCCAATTTTCTGCAAGGGAGTGCCAGAAACTTGAGAGTACAAGGAAGAGAATGCATTGGCCACAGTGGTAAGCACTTCAATCTGACGAAAGCGGCCTGGCAAAAAGACAAAACCAAGTGACAAAAAGAACAAAGGGCAGCCCTGTAAAAGTGCAATATTGAAACAACAAATGAACTTGAAACTTGCGAAGTTAAAAACAGAAACACCAGAACATCAGAACCAAAGCCAAGCCCGATTCCTGACTTTCAATTATCCTTGGCTTCTGAAATCTGATGGAATTAATTAGGGTTTCGTGCACTATTTTTTTTACAAAAATGTTACTTGTAGTATTCCCTGAGGAAAAGTAGATTGTTTTGTCTTAAAAACGCATCTGCCTTTTCAATCAGTCAAAGAAAAACATATTGTTTCATTTTTTTATTATTATTTTAATGTTTAGTAGGGATATAAGCCACTCTGTTTCAACTCGGTGGTACACAAACCCAAGAAAATAATGTACACCACGTTACATCATTGGGAAATTGTTCAGAGGGAGAAGAGGGGAAAAAAAACATAAGCTTTCTTCCATCACTTTTCTACCAAATAAAAGTGTCTCTCTCCTTACTGAACTGTCTTTGAAATGAGTGCCACTCCCTCTTCTCTGAACCTTTTCTCACATTCCAATTCCATAGGCTACATATTGCTCTCACTTCATTCTGCTGCCCACGGTCATTTGTGAGTAGGATGGTACCAAAGGTTTAGAGTAGCCTTCATTATTGATTCTATCATCTCTAGTTAGCATAAGAAAGAGAAGCTAAGATTTGGGGGGGGGGTTAAACTTTTCCAAGGAACTCAGGTTGGAAAAGGCTGGTGAATTGCTCCTAATGTTTTGCTACTGTTATCTACAGGCTTGCTATCATCAGAGATGTTGACTTTTCACATTGCAGAATGAAAGGGTAAATTATAGAGAAATAATTAGCTACCCTGACAACATTCTTCCCCAAGTGACTAGGTTCAGAAGATTTAAAATTAGAAGGGTTTTGCATTAGATCTATTTATTTCTAATTTGCCATCCTAAAAAACAAGGAAATTAATCAGGTAATATCATATTTTCCCTGACCAACTTTTGAACTGATTTAGAAACATACCAAATTTTTATGCATTTATGAATTTGTATATTGCCCAGTAAGAAAAACATACTTGTCAAAGCAAAATTGGGATTTTCCACTTCCATCCGTTGCAGTTGTGCACTCAGAAACACCTTGATATCTATTCCCCTTGCAAAAGATGATGAATTAAAAAACCTTGATGGAATTTTTGAAGCAATATCTGGTTCATCACGTCCAAATCCAAGATTATAGAGAACCTCTTCAGGATCTTCCTCGTAGAGTTCCAGTAGTTCAGACACGCTAGATTAAAACAATAATACAAAAATTGCACTATATAGTCTGCTTTTCCGGTTAAGTATAGAGGTGAAATCTGTAAGACCGTTAGACTGAATACCTGGATTAAAAGGTTTAGATTTCAATTTTTAGCTTTTAAAGGAGATGAAAGGAGATGACATTATGATTCTGTGAGCTTACTTAAAATATATTTTTAAATGTTGAAATATTCGTTGTGCACTCTCCCATAATTTTATTAATCTCAACAGGACTTCTCAGCACACCTAGAATAAGTCTTTACTGGGTGGCTGGGGAATTCTGGGAATTGAAGTCCATTAGTCACAAGTTGCCAAGTTTGGACACTCCTGAGCTACACTGTTAATTTAGTTTGCATATTAATGAGCAGCAGAATTTGTCTAGAAGAATGTTTAAATTTGTATGATTTCAATCAACCATTATATACAAGGGCAGATTGTCATCTATCCCAATCTTCTTCAAACTTCCTTGAAAGCAAAGCCCTACTCAAAAACCGCCCGTAATTCAACTACATAGATCTAAGAAGACTTTTTTTGTTCATCCAGTCTTCTCTATCATAACTGCATTGTTCTCAATGTGTTAGAAAGCAGTAACAACTCTTCTGTACTTGGACAGCAAACTCATTGCATCCTGCAAAATCTCGATTCTAAGGGGCAATCAAGCAATCAACTAAAATGTTTTGCAGAATGTGTGGCACCTTCTCCTTTTCAGTTCTATCTTAAATACAAGGCAATGATGCCTGAACTAGGCTACATCTATCACCTTCAAGTTGGAGGTACTCAACCAATCTCCTAGTCACCTCTCTTTTTAAAATACTTAACGCTGACTGACTTGAGCTCATGTGGTTTTATTTTGTAAAGAGTCTGCACAGCCTCAATAAGGAGCTTTTCTCTTTTAAAAAGATATGGGGAGTGATTAGACTCCTAGCCTCCTGCACACATTGAACTTAATTCAGCATTGTTGTAATAACAACATGAGAAATGATGTGTAATATAATGTACTTTATACTCCACTTGATTTGCTCTGAAATTGTGCGTGGAGACTTTACATATATAGTAGGCAGGCAATCCACTCAAAATTTTTGCCTTCCAATGCATGGGAACCCACAGAAATGCAGAATGAACCACACAGATCTGCTCTCTCCCTTACAGAAGATAAGCTGGGCTCATCTGCATGAACACATCTGTGTAGAGTTGCTTTGGTAATGGAGAAGTGGTTTTCACTGTCATTTTCAAAATGCTTTCAATCTGAAGAATCCTTGATGCTCTCTGAGTTTGGTTGTCTTCTTGCAGATGTTTCATTACCCAAAATAGGTAACATCAACAGTACTAGTGTTAAGACTAGCACTGATGATGTTACCTAGTTTGGGTAATGAAATGTCTGCAAGAAAACAATTAAGCTCAGAGAGCACCAAGGTCTCATCATTTCAACCCAGAGCTACAAATATTCTCCTTTATTGTTTTCAGTGTTCTAGCAGTCTCTCTTCCAAATATGACCCTTACCCTTCTTAGCTTTCTAAGGTCAGCTAAGATCAACCATGTGCTACCACCAGCTGCAATAAGAATTTCCTCAAGTGAAATTGCTTCCAAACACATTTCACCTACCCTACTATAATCATAGCACAAAATTACATCAATGATCAATTAAAGTCTTCATACATTAAAAAACAGAACATCGAAAGTTCCAACTCTCAGCAACACTTCTACTCCAGTCGGCCATCCTGGCAAAAAAGGAACATAGAAATCAGGGAGGGAAAGTTTAGCTCCTCTGCTCTGCCATGAGCCTGACAGCAGAAGACTAACGTTAATTCAATAGAGAGATGAGTGGATACCAAAAAATCTCCACAAATTGTTTGGAGAATACAAGATCTGTGGACTAGACTGGGAAGTTAAAGAAATACTACCAAAAGACAGCAAAGGTAAACTATATTAAAATGTTGCCAAGAAAACTACCAATACGTCTATGACATCACCGAAGATCAAGCTCAATTTAAAAGAGAATTTTGAACACAATATGGAACTATTCTTGTGGGTTTCCTTTACTTTCTATGGAGTGTTTTTTTCCCCCCTTAAATTTCACTGGCAGCAAAGGAATTCTAAAACTCCTGCATTTCTAGAAGTCTATATGTAAATAGTAAATCTTTAAGGAAAGGAGTCTATATCTCTCACAGCTGTCTTAATCCAGATAACTGCCATGGTATATTTATTCTGAACTCCAGAAACCAGAAGGCAGGGCATTTCTTTCACCAGAATTCAAGAGATTCAATTCTTGAACTTGTTGATCCTAGTAAATGCAATATATATATGAATATGACAGATAGAGGAATATGCATAGCTACCATAACACACAGCTTGCCAAAAAATCATGAAATTCTAAAAGTGGCAATTTTTTTATAGAATGCAAAAAGAGATATCAAGCTGCAGACACACGGAACGGTGATAAGCATCTATAAAACATAGAAGAAGAAGAAAAAAGAGGCGGAATAAAAAAATTCCATTGGTTCCTTACTCCGCACGAATAATCCTTTGCTTACCTAGAAACGGTTGCACTGCTTTTTCCTGAGCCAGTGGAATTCATACTTCTCCCCCTCTGATGAAACTGAAGCCTCTTGTCCTTTGCCAATATACTGTTGCTGACAATACAAAGGGAATTCACAATTACAAGGATGGAGAGCCTGCCTCTTCCTTTAAGAATATCCCAAATATCCAACATTCTACTGCTCCTGTCTTTCTTAAATTCACTTTGGTTGTAATGCACAATAGCAGCTTTTCACTGTGAGCCTCATGATCCCTTCCAAACCCCACAACTGCTTCTTTTCTAAAAGCACCCCACCTAGTTCTATTTACCACCCTGAACTTCTGCTTTTTTTTAGCTCAGCAGAGAATTTTAGTTTGAAATAAATTAAATATACAAGCGCAAAAGGAATGGCAATTTAACAGCGTCACTTATTTCCTCAGCTGAAGAGTAGAGCTTTTTCCTTCCAGATGTTTTGGACTGCTGCATGCTAAAACACAATAGGAAATGACTGTAGACCAGATCAATCAGAAGTTTCAGAAGGCAAGAGAAACATTGAGAGTATGGTATGATTCAGATACGTAAGTAGAGCCAGAATTTTCTGTTTCTTGACAGGATTTGCATTATGATTATGGAGGTGAAAAGTGAACCATGTCACTCAGAATTAAAGAAAAATCCAAGACTAACAATGCAACTTATTGGGAAGGAAAAAATAGCTCCTCACATCTGTATCTCATCAGCTTATAGTCTTGATGACAAACTATTAAAATTAATTATGTTCATATAGAAAGATCAACTTCACGTTAAACATTACTCCAAAGCAAAAAAAAAGTATGAATTTTTACCAGATATCCATTTGTTCACTGTTTTGATGCAGTTGATTAGCTGAAAGAAGGGAGGAGAAAAAAAAGGAGAAAATGAACACGAATCTGTACATTACAAATTACAGAAACAAAGATGCTTAGTAATCATTAACAGAAATAACAAGCAATTCAATCACTTTGATTTTATAAATGGTATTTTGAATGCATGTACCTGCAAACTATTTTTACAATGAATTGTTGGATAAATCTCAATTGGCTGGATTCATGCAATATGTTAAGTCACAGACCATAGTTACAAATCACAAAGGATTGGTTTACACAAGATGCCCAGCCAAACTCACATAAATGGCATTGGGACCAAGTGTACTGGATGAACTATCTATAAAAAAAGGGTCTAGAATAAGTATGTGAACAATAGGTGAATCTCTTTCATTCTATGCCTGAAATAATAACCCACCATTAGAATTTCTATCAAGTCTCTTATATAAATATTTATGAGGCAAAGAAGAACACAAGAGAATTCTCTTCATTCCTTTACCACCAGTGTCCACAGGAGACATCTGTATTTTTCTCTGTAGAATAAAAATATCTCTATATACGTGTTGTTGCTCTTGCTCTAAATTGCACTTCTCCATGTTTATGCTTATATATGCAATGGATAGGCCAGGGAAGAACAGATACATGCAGTTCTGGATTACACCATTGGGAGGGAAAGATGGCGAGCACTACAATGGAGCAATTGTAGCATTTTTCTAGGCTGCTGCCCAAAGGGATTCAATGGGATCTTTTTTTTCCCTCTGCATTCCCCACTTGATCTAGTCTATTTGTCAACTCTCTTTCTTTTGCTGTCTTCTTTCCACAGACAAAGTTTGGCCCCATTCTGTTGAGTTTTCAGAGTCACTCTGTACCTAATGTACCTCTCTAATGTCCTCCCAACATTTGTTGGGTTAAAAAAATAAGAGAATAGTGGTACCGGATTTTATGATTAACACAATCATACCTTGGTGATCTTGGCCTATATTTAAAAATATGTCACCTTAATTTCATCAGGACTCTGCAATCAAAACTAGGAACATCTTTTCAATAATAAAAAGATTTGTTTATAAACAAAAGCTGAATAATTAAAACCCTTATTTTAAGTCAAGGAGCAAGGCAAGGAAAGTGGCATTCCCAGAAACATTTAGGACTTATCACAGATGTAATTTGATTTTAAAAAATCCTGCAAACACAAAAAATGTCTTTGCTAATGATAATAGTGAAACAGAAAAGTCTCTAGCGGTACCAATTATTTCACTTTCCAGGTATCTGGAAACATATCTGTTTCTAAGAGACATACTGAGTATTCCAGAGCTTGGAGAGGCCCAAAGGTAAAAGCCTTGGCATGGTTCAGAATAAGCCATGAAGATTTCACCATATCCTGACATCTAATTCTTGGAATCTTTCTGTGCATTCCACATGATTAATTATGAGCAGAAATCAAGTAAATTCAAACAATAAACAAAGAACCCTCAATTCAAATTTGTTGTGATAAACCTTATACCAACATATTCTGATTTGATGTTTATAAATAGCAATTTGTGGTTGACCTTTGTTGTTCAGGCTTGAAATATTGAGAAACTCAGTCTCCCCAAGGAACATTTTATTTTTCTATAATAAGCAGCATCTATCCGATCTGCAATGATGGGCTGTTGTGCAGAAAATAATAATGGGGATAGCTGGACAAAATGTTTAGCTAAGTTATATCCTGATTGTCTATTACATAAAATCAGCAGGTCATAGAAACCCAAACAAGGCATGGGGAATAAATGATTCTAGGTTCAATACCCAGTATCCTGAAGGTTTGTTGTTTAAAACAAACAAATCACCCAGGTGATGAAGAGCAAACTCACGTATTTTAATAAAATAACTGATCTGAAAACAAAATACCGTAAATGCCGGCGTATAAGACGACTTCTGCGAGCGCTGAAATCGGCGCCAAAGACGGGGGTCGTCTTATACGCCGAGTCGTCTTATACGCCGGAAATACTGGTAGTTTCTGGCGTATAAGATGACGTTCTAGGAATGCGGCCCAGCTATAAAGACGGGGGTCGTCTTATACGCCGGGTCGCCTAATACGCCAGCATATATGGTAATTGTTTTTACAGCAATATACCTGACTCCAAAAACAATCTGCATAATATTTTGGTTAATACGAAACAGAAACAGAGGGGTGAAATTTCAAGAAAGTTGTGATGTCTCACTGAAACATAATTTGTCATTTTGAAGACCGAAAAAGATTTGCAGATACTATTATATTTTACTGAAATAAGATTTCTGACAGATTTTTCTCATGGATCTCTTCCTACAGTTTTATGGTGACAAGTAAGCTCACATGCTTCAATCAGAATAAAAATATACTGTTCAGTTTTAGAAAAGCAGAGTAGTTTTATTTTATTTTTTTAAAAAGCATATGCTTAATGCCACACCCACCTTCTGCTCCCAGAGACAAATCATCTTCAAAACTTCCTCCATTCCTCACCAGCATGCCTAAAACAGATACCAGTTTGACAAAATCAAAATCTATTGTGGTTATTTTCTAGCAGTACTGTCAATTGTAAATTAAAATACTAAACATATTTTAGAATATCTATTTATTTGCATCTCATCTTTCCTTTGTAGCATTTCCTTCTTTCCTCATCACAACAGCCCTGTGAAATACTGATTGACCCAAACTATGTTAAAATTCCATGGCTTAAAATGGGCTTAAAGCTGGTCCTTGTTCTAATCCCGTACTTTAACCACCAGTTACACTAGCAAATTGTATAAAGTTGTAATGGGGTTTACAGACTTATCACAGTCCAATAAGCCTCAAGCTGTTAGCACTGGCAGTTTTGAACAAAAAAATGACAAATCTTATAACATCAAGGCAACCTCCAAAGATATTGTCAAGCTAAAAAGAAAAAAAATAGAGCAATTTCCTATCTGCGAATGCCACGTAACTTAGTACTTCTGAGTCACATGAAACATGGCACAAAGCTTTAACCTTTTGAAACTGCTTACCAAAAGTTTCAAGCCTAAGCATTATCTGGGAACCAACATTCCCTTTCATCCCTGGAAAAATGAAATGAAGGAACTCCAGCTATTGCAGAGGCTTCTTCTCGGCTCTGTCACTACCTGCACATTCTTGTTGTACTTCGAACTTTTGCATTCTGGTTTGTGCAGGTGGTAACTTTTCAGGTGTGGTGAGTTCAGTCAGAGCCAGTCAAGAAAGAGTGTTCTGAAAGGCTGACCTACTTCACAGTATGCTTCTTTCTTGCTCTCTCCTTCCAGCAGGCTTACCTACAGGAGAGTCTCACTTAGCTTTAGCACTAGGGAGACATGAATACTGTAAGTACTTAACCCTGAACATCCCATTCCTGTTCAGAAGCCCTGCTGGGAGATCAGGGACCCGTGGTTCTTTTCACAACATCCAAATGGCTTCAATTCAAACTGCATTTCCGTCTAACAAGCAAGAAAACAGAGAAAGTCAGAAAGTGCCAGACATTTACCTTTTAACGTTGGGTTGCTCTGCTCATCCAAAGAAGCTCCCAATGGTGTTCTAAAACCACAAAAGAGATTAAAATGTGCATGACTCCTTTAAAACTTGCTTCTTCACATCCTTCCTTAAAAAGCTGACTTTTTCACATCCGCCAACTCCTCTTCCTGAAATTGTGCATGCACGCGTACATACAACTTACAAAGTCCACTCTGAGAAAACTGAGTCTCTGTACAGATACTAGTTGCAAAAGCCAACTAAGCCCTGCCTATAAGAAGTACAAGAAGTGAACTCTGTTAGATCTCATCTCCAAATAAGCATGAGCAAGATTGCACAAGTTGACTTAAGTGTGGGCTAGCACAACAACGTAAAGGTGAAGAATTAGTCATGTTTTTAAATGCCTTAATGATTCAGAGAGAAAATATAGCAATTGAAAAATGTTTCATATTTTAAAACACTTTTCTGCCATATTCCTATATCCAATTCAGAAAGAGTGGGCAAAATGAGCATACTTTAGACGTAAAATGGATCCACTCACCCACATAGCCCTATGTGGCCACAATTAGAAAAAGATTTGTCATTTTATTATATTCTGCCATTCAATTTAGACTACAATTATAAATCACTGCCGTAGTAAACAACAAGCATCTAGTGGAGCTTATTTCTAGAGACATACCAAGTGGATCATAATGTTGTACTATGAACCCTTTGTAGGCTTGCCAACAGCCAAATCAATGAGCATGGAGTTTATGAAAGTCACTAAAGCAGTAATACAGATGTGAACCTGAAGATATGATAGTCTGCTTCTCTGTTTACCCTCTGCCCCAATTATGGCAAATGGACTTTATCTTGCCAAACAATGAAAGCAGGGGAGGAAACTTTGGAGCCCACTGCCAGAGAACCACGGGTTCTCCCTTCTCCCATGCCTTTAATATTTACAACAGATATGTCAAACACAAGGCCTGGGGACCAGATGTGGCCCGCAAAGTGGTTTCATGTGGCCTGCGAAGCCATCCTGGAAACAGTGAGGGAACAGCCCCCGCTGCCTTGGCCCTGGCCCAGGCTGGCCAGGAGCCAATGTACAATTTTATGGTGGCCATCTATGCTGAAACACATTCAGTCTTAGCTCCACAAGGCCGTCTAGAAACAGCGAGGAACCAGCCCTGCCGTGTCGGCCCTGCCCCCTGGGTGCATGCTGGGGAGGTGTCACTTTTTGTGAGAAATGAAGAAATGGACCATGCCTTGGTGCTTGCCCCAGTCCCACCCCCTTCTGCCAGAGACCCTCAGATCTGTCCCACTCCTGCCCAGGCCCCCACAGGCACCCTTGACGCGAACGATGTAGAGTTGGCCATGCCCACCCAGTAGGCCACACCCACTCCATCCATGCCTACCCAGTAGGCCGCACCTACCCTGGCCACACCCACCTGGCCCCCGAGGGCAACTACAATGCTGATGCGGCCCTCCATGAAATTGAGTTTGACACCCCTGATTTACAACAATGAACCATGTCACAAAGAGCCTCAGTAGAAGATGTAATGAGGAAGCAGTTGGAAGGAATGATGGAACAATGGAAGAAGAAACTGGTGCTACATTCTCCTGCATTGCTACTCCCTAATCAATCATAGCAGCACTGTTGCTGCCAGCCTACTCTTCCTTTCATTAGTCAGAGAAGGCATATTTTCCCAGTGACTACAGATGATCCTTTATGTCCTTGGGCCCACTACTGTAAAAGGGAAGAAGTACCCATCCTTCTCCCTTCACTCTGCCCAACCTCAGTGTGGCAGAATGGGATGGGAGCCAGGCAATTAAGCTCTTTCACCACTGAAAGACCCATCTGAAAATTCATAGTGTCCCAACAACTCTATCCATATGTTGGTTTTTGTGTTACAGTACAATGTGTATTGGGAGGGACAAATACAACAGTTGTGTCCCATCTGTTCCCCTGTGGCAGCTTTTAAAGAAGAGGCCTTATTTCCAGGTCAACAGTTGATAACTCTAGGACTTCAACAGCACTGCCAGCTAAGGAAAATAGAAAACCAGCTTAGCCAGGCCTGCTCTAATCCCATCAACAGATGCCTGCTGCACAGAATTTAGCAGGTGGATCTGTTTACCTCTGTGCTGTGAAAAGTTTCACCTGCTGGTATGGAGAAATCAAGTGAAAGTATTCACACAGCCCAGGCAAACAAGGCCAAATTTCACCATCTGCACACTAAACTGCATAAAGGCAGAGATACTGCCGCCAGTGAATCAACTGGCAACTCAGCTCTCCAATAAAAAAGACTCACAGAATCATCTTGAATTTGTTTTTACATGCATACACATTAAATCCTTTAGTATATGGCACATCATACAAGCCAAAAAACATTTTAAAGTAAAATAATCTTTTAATTATTACCATGGTGGTTAAATCACATGACTTACTACCCACTTTAGTAGATTATTTAGGTTGCAATGCTGAACATATTTACCTAGAAGGAAACCCTTGAGTAGGCACATAAGACTGTCACCCATAGAGCTGTTTACCTATTTTCTCCGAAGATCATAACAGCCATTTTGTGCAATTATTTCTAAGGCCATACAAATAAATTGGTCAGGCAGCTGATGAGATGACTTTCCCTGCCAAAGTCATTCAGGAAGAGAAGCATGGGGGAGAAACCATAAATTGCTTTCCTAATGTTGTTCTGTTAACACTTTTACAAATAAAACTGGAGTGGCATGGAAACACCTCCCTAGATTTGAACTGCATTTATTTTGAGTTTTGCCAAGCGTGGAATATAATAGATACAGTGATCATAAAGTAGTAATACATTTGTTAATATGCAGATAGTTATTTTTTTTCTTTATATGCATTTCCCTAAAGTAAGAGACATGTAAGTCACTGTGATCTTTGTTTTAAGAAGTAAGTGAATGCTTCTTTATCTCATAATGCTATGCTAACTTAATGCCTTATTTCAATCATTACTTAAATGTAGCCTTATGGCTATGCAATCCAAAGCTTTTTAAAATGTCTCCATCCTTATACCTTATTCACTGCTCTGCATAATATTCAGTTTGCTGAGTTTTGAAAATTTAAATTTCCTGCTACTCTGCATCAAATACTTCAAAATCTTGTGTTAAAGACATTATCTTCTTAAGCACAACATGAACAACTTTGTCTTTTAGACTGGTTTTTGTTTTCAGCTTATTTCTGATTCATAGCCTTTACTTATAGTTGAAGTAAAATAGTACAACCATCACTGACAAATAAAATCAAATCCCTTACTAGGCCAGTGACCCAGACTAAATAAAAGTAAATAAAACCAACAGAGTAGAGGTACAAAATAGAGCATACAAGATAAAAAAAAATACAAAAAGATGCTTGCACTATTTTGCTATCAGCAAAATGCAAGTTTTATAAGCTGCAAAAACAAATTCTACAACTGCAAGAGTTAATAATAAATTTCACATAACATTATTCAGTCCATCCTGGAAATGGATTTAGAAGAGGAGTTAAGAGCTCTTTGTATATGTCTCAAAGAAATTGCAATATAACAGTATATTAATTCATGTTTCAATATTACTATCTTCACCAGGGCAGAACCTTTCTATAAATGGAATTTTACCACAAATCTTTTATTGCCCTCTGTTTAAATGCTTTATTGATCTATAGTAGCATACCAGTCAAAGAGAATATTATTTCAGAATAGTAGCATTCCACAGAAATAGAACAAGCATGTGTCAACTCCAAAATGTCCATTGCAGCTGAAATTTTGATCTGACTTCCAGTTTGTCTAATATTCTTCTAAAAGAGCAAGAGAACTTTGGCCTACAATTCTTATGACCACTGACTAGTGGCCACACAGGCGGGAGTTGAGATCCAGCAACATTTAGAAGTCAGTAGGTCCCATGTCTGCTATTTAGGGGCTCTAAGTATTGATGAACAGCATCAAAGTTGCAAGAAACGAAAACCTTTCTTAAGACAAGAGAAAATTAACACGCATATTAACTTTAGCATAAATTTGAAAATCCAAATCTCATATTTGAAAATAAGGTTACTGTATCCTAGTAACCTCTGTAGAACTTTCTGTCATGTTGTCAAAGTCCTTCAAGATACTGTGATGCCATACTCATTACTGGGTTGAGTGAAGTACAATAGTAACAAAGCAATGCAAGTCAATTTATACTACTAGTCATACAGGGAAAGCATGCAATATGAAAAGGAAATTAAGCTGATTAGTAAAGATCTGTTTCTCCCTCAATTAGAATAGGAAGTTGTCATATTTTGCCCTTGTTCATTCACTGCATCGCACAGGGATAGGCAATCTACTACCTCTGCAATATTATTGAACCAGTTCCAACATCTTCAATTAGCACAGCCAATAATTCGGCATGTGAGAATTGTGGTTTCAAGACCACTAATTGTCTACCTTCCACTGAGATGTGAAAATATGTAAGTTCTAAATGAGATAAACCTGAGAAACAGGAGATGATTTTGCTGACTGGGATTAAGTTATTCATGTTGTTACGTTCCAGTGAAATCAATGGGATTTGAATGCAATGAATTCAGCTACTAGGTATTTTAGTAACACTAATCCAGAAAATAGCTAGGCTACTGCGTTTTGTTGTGGCCTTTCCTGGCTCTCTTTTCTCATCCCATTTCCAAAGCCAAATGCCATAACAAAACTTGATGTCAGTTCCCTTATTTGTATCTCCAAAACAGTACAGAGTTGTTTCATTCTTCATTTTAAGGGGACACTGAGCACAAACACTGAAGCAACTACAGTAATGTTTTAAACCCATCCCCTCCTTTTGAACGTGGACAGGGAGTATCAAACCACCAAGGCACTTCAGCCAGGGAAAGGAGTGTCAAACCCTGAAAATTGCTATCTGATGAAACTCTTGAGTATTTGTATGTCAATGAAAGAAGACTCAGTGGAGGGGGGGGGGAAGGATTTTTATTAAAGGTTTTCAAGCAACAACCTTTCCAACCCAGAATTTAAACAAAGACACTTATTGTTTACACCACTGGCTTTTAATGATTCTTTTAAAATTCTTCCCATTCTCTTTCCTTAATGGCCACTTCA